GGACCATGACCTCTGCTCTTTTTGCTGTCATAAACTGACAAAAGCATTAAATAAGAGAAAAAGTTTATGGATTGCATACATGGAAGCAACCACATAGTGTAAATGCTCATAACCCCTAAATGATTCAGTAGTGTCTGATGCTTTGATATTGTTGTATGGCATTACTATCTTCAAATGTATTGGGACACATTCATAGTTATTCTGTGGTTCATGAGCACATGATAGATGCTGATATACTTCATGTCTATAAATGTGTTGAGTTTTTTGTTTATCATTCTAGGAATTGAACCCAGGGTTCATGTGAGCACATTAAGCACATACTAAACTATACTAAACTATATTCCCAACTCCTTTCATGTCTAACGGGAAAGGAAATTAGGAGTTACTGAAAATATTAAGTGGTTATAAGCAGCTTTTGTAAAAAGTCAGTAAGTTTGGAAAACATACAGAGTCTGGGACAAAGTATGTTCTAACTCAAAGAACAAATTTTAGTTTGTGAATGATTCTCTAAGGGACAGGGGTATGTGACACCAGTCTATCCAGCTGAGCTGGCAGACTTCGGGCTTTTTTCTGCAATGTGCATTTAGTTTTCTCTGGTTAATGATATTTTCAGTACAAACACTCCAGCTTTGTGTTCCTCTTGACTGCTCTGGTGATGTGGGAGGGAGGAAAAGCCAAGATCAGAAGGACAAATTGTCTTATAAAATGGAGTCACTTAGCACAGGACCCAGCCTGAAAACCACTGTTTTGTATGATGTGGAGTATGATGTGGAGTAACTTAAGCAGGGTACATCCTGAACTCTACAGCTTATAAATTGTGTTGTACTTACCATTGACTTAGAATACTAAAGAGCTTTCCAAGCAAATACAATTCAGGACATTCTTTTACGTGGTGTTACATCAGATAATAGCTGTTTTCAAGCTTGTGGTGCTGAGAAAGAACAAAGACACTTTCTTCCAGCTAACAGCTTTTTTCCCTTGCAAAACATTGAGGAACTCATATCTTTTCTTATGCTTTGGAAACATTGTCCAAATAATTGCTGAATTCATTTAACGAATGTGAAAATCAATCAGGGTCTTTATTTTCTTTGATATTAAAACATAATCATAATACATTGTGTGAACTAAAATTCAAAAACTCCAAAAACATAGTGTGCAAATTTTCAAGTCTTAGCCATGAAGTGTTCTTTGGAAGCAACAATTATCATTGCTTTCTGGTATGCTTCCCAAAGATTGTTTATATAGCTGTAAGAACATGTTAGCTGTGAATACTTCTTCACCTTCTTTAAACCATGTATCCTGAACAACTTTCCATATTGTCAAGGAACTTTTCCATGTACCCCATCGTGTATCTTGGGATCTTACTAATTAACATGACAAAAGCAAAGTTGGACATAGTTATAATACAGGTTTTTAATCCCAGCACTTGGAAGTTGAAGGCAGGAAATTATATAGCGGGTTCAAGGCCAGCTTGGGCTACAAGAGGCTCTGTTACAAAAATGAAATAACTAACAAAATACAAATTTAAAAAGAGGAAAAAAAGAAGTCAGTTTTTACACAGATTGAGAGAATAAAAGAAACAGCTGATTCATCAAATGGTTAAAAGCTTTTCGGCCCCACTTAGTAAAGAAAAGTGGGTGTGTGATGTGAAAAAAAGTGTCGATGAGTCACACACATTGATTCTTTAGAGAATACACAGTGGGTATTCCAGAGAATAGCAAGTGTGCTAGTGTTCCCCTGTAGAGATATGCCCTTGTGGTTTCTGCAAGGTAACAATTCAAGGCCATATGATGGTCTCATTTCCTCTATATTTCCACTGTCATGTTTTCAGATAGGAAAGCTCTAAGTAGTCCCTTCCTCTTCCATCTGGTGACTCTCAGATGTCTTCAGTCTAATTTCATCCATGCTAACTCCAGGCTTCTAAGTTTATCCCCACAACATCAATATGGTCAAATTGTGTATACTTTATCATGATTGCCTTGTTAGGGACAGAGATCACTAGGGACATCAGCAATGTTAATCATGCAGGATTGTCATCTCAAAGGGGAAAATACCTGCTTTCCACCTAGAAGTCTGGGAGCAGATGTTGTTAATGACCCGGTGACCTGTCTATCTATAGAGTCAGACCTTAAAGAAAGCCCCCAGAATGTTTATCCCGGACTCTCCCTCCTGAGACCTTTATCTTTAGCTCTCAGTTAATAGAACTCATCCTTAGGAGAGATGTCACATGTACTTCATGACCTGCTGACCTGCTGTACTTCATGACTGCTCTCTCAGTCAGAGACCACATCAGACACTAGGCCTTTAAACTGTAGAACCTATCTTCATGGTAACATGTACTATATAAAGGAGTTTCTGTGTAGTCACGAAGTAAGCTTTATTGTGTCCCTGGGATTGGAAATGATTGTTGCCTGGAAACTTTTTTTTCCAAATAATACTGTGTTTAAATATGCATTACATTAAATAAATATTACATTACAATGATCTGCCTGGCATCACTCTCTAGAAGTTTGATCCAGCTTGACTAAGTTTTCCTCTTCATGCAGATCATTTCCCTGCCTGCAGAAGAACATTCAGAGACCCCAGCATTACCATAATTAATTTTCCTGTAACAAATACTGTTCAAATGAATAGCTGTAAGATTTGTTTCTTTTAAATTAATTATGTATGTGTGTGTCTCCATGTGGTTATGTGCACATGTGTGCAGTACCAGTGGAATTCAGAAGAGGGAGTTGGATCCCCTGGAGTAGAGTTCCAGGTCGCTGTGAGCCACTGGATAAGGGTGCTAGGAACCAAACTCAGGATTTGTAGAGTCTTCAATTTCACTGTTTTTCAGAGTGGATCAGTATTTTGATCTTATAATCATCAATGCTGAGAATAACACTTTGCATAAACACATTATACAAAATGGTAGAACTATGTTCAGGGCTCTCCTAGCAATTCTGTCCTAATTCAAGCCAAAATTCATTTGGTATTTTTTAAAAAGCTCAACTCATCAACTCAAAACAATTTTTAAAAGCAATCATTATAGTGCAATAAAATTCAATAATATACCAATTTGGTACTTACATACAAAGGAATAAAGATACAAAAGTACTGAGCTTTTATTTTTTATAATTAAGATATTGTTTTTTCTCTTTGACTTAATTTTTAAAAACAGTCATACCATATTTATGGTAATCCAGTTTACATATTAAATAGCATGATATTAGAATGATCTGATATAGTTTTAAATAGAGGAAAATGGAAACAATTTTAGGTCCTAAAGTGCCCCTCACCAACAAGGAAACAAAACCCTTTTTATAGTCAATGTGCTAATGTATTCAGCGATTTGTCATGTCTAATTCATATTACACTAGTGGTGAATGGAATTAAATGAAAGACCAACTTTCAAAATCACTGCTCAAGGAAATGATATATGTTGGATTCTCTTGGAATGCAAAGGTATTCCTTACTACTTCAATACCCCAAAAGTTTAATTATGTTTTAATAAGAGTAGAAAACTACATTGTGAAAACACTGCAGTTCATAGCATACAATAGTGTTTAATCTGAGCCAAGGTGTTTCAGGTAGCACTGAAAGTATTGGAAGAGCAAAATGCACATGTGTGTCAGAACCAAAGCTTTAGTGAAGTCATGAGATGCAACATGGGTGAGTGTTGACACAAACACCCCAGATTCATTACCATTTGTTCTTTAATTTTTGTTGACTGTGTGTTCAGAAATTGTTTACTACTGTAAATTTTGGGGGGACACCACGTCAATTAAACCCCATGAGGGTTTATGATTTGCAGTTTAAGAAGCTGAGATCCTCAGGCAGAAACCTTGACACACACGCACACTTAAAGTATTCAGTTACTTGACGAAGCCTAAGTAAGTAAATCCCTATAAAGAAATGACAAATCTTGGTTCGCGGGTGTACCCCAGTGGTACAGAGCTTGCTTAGCATCCAGGAGGTCCATCTTCGATCCCCAGTAACCACACCACAGCAATCAAAGACAAAATGAAAATGACTAAAGTCAAATAAAGTAGATTCCCTTCCCTAGGATAGCTGAGGGGCCACTCAGTGAGATGCACTCCTGAATTGTTCTCATCGCATAAACGACACGGGGACAGGGAAAATTGATGATTACCCAAATGATTTAAAGTAAATTACTTAATCTCTTTAAAATTTCAACTGTTACATATGTCAAAGTTGTTAACTGGAAGGCACAGCAACTATGTTTGCACGAAAAAGAAAAAGTGAATTTATTAAAGTTTAGTGGGTGGTGCAAATCTTTAACACCAGAACTTGGGAGAGGATTTACATACAACCAGCCTGATCTACATAATGAATTCCTAAGACGGGTAGGGTTACAAAGAGAGGCCCTATCTAAAGATAAAAACAAACAAAAAGCATCAATCTTAAAACCTGGATATAGTTGCTGGGGTTAGCATCCTTGCTTAAATAGACCCCTGAAGTATTCCTAACGGTTTACATGCACATTTCGGGTGTGTGCCTCGGGTTAGATTGTAGCTAGCAAGCAAGAAACTCGGATCCCGCCATTAAGGAGGACTGGCACAGCCAGTGCAGTCACTATCATTTCCTATAGGGGGAGCTGGCCTGGGTAAGGCAAGATATCTGACAAACGTTTAATTACGCAAACAAACATAAAACAAATTCCTACTACCAACAGTTCTGTTCTATCGAAAAGTACTCGTCACCCTGGGGCTCCAATAGTGATTTAGAGGCCAGCAGCCCTAAAACAAGGCCTTGCAAAACAAATCTCTTAAGGACACTCTCAATTACATAGTCTTCCTCACAAACTTAGGTAAAAAGGGAGCTCTGGTAAAGGAAAGATTAAGGATAGCACTTCTTTCTGGGAAGTATGGAGCGAAAAGAATAAAGGGTGAGAAAGACAGGGAGGAAAGGGGAGCCTCAAATCTCGCGAGACCCCCCACCCCAGCCCGGGGTCCAGTTTTAGGTACCGGGATCCGGGCGCCGGCCAATCACGAGGGGAGTTTTCCGCGCGGTGGCCGTTGCTGGGATACGCGGCGTCGCGCAGGGCTTTGAGGCCTGGCGCCCAGGCTGTGCTTATGGGAGCGGAGCTGCTCGTCGGGTCTCCTCAGAGGTTCGTGTTGCGGGGTACCCCCCCCCCGCTTTCGCCCCGGCAAGGTGAGAAATCTCAGCTTCCGCGCCTTCTCCCTGCGCGGGTTATCGTTCCGTGGCGACTGACTCGCTCGGAACAAATTCGAATTCGTGGGCTCTTGGCTGTTGTCTCTCACTTGGGGACGGAGGCTTGGCCTGGGAAATCCCACTCATCGCCTGGACTACGAGTGAACGCTCCAAGCCAGGCCCAAGGGACACTGAGGCCTCAGAAAAGTCACCGCTCAGAAGGAGGAGGCTGTCTGCCGGTTCCAGGGGGAAGGGACCTAGCAACTTTTCTCTTAACCCAAGTCAGAATGGTTGGCCCAGGGAGGATAATGGCAGTCATAGCAAGGAAAAACTTGATGTTTTCCATGTAAGGACTGAACTTCACAACTCTGCAAATTTAGGGCAGGCGGCCGCACTTTTGTTTTAGAGAAAACACAACCCCAACCAAAGGGATTGTGTGCCAAAGTTACTCAGTGGTTACTGTCCGAGGTGGAATTTGTGTCCTTGATCCTTGTGGAATCTGAGATTTTGTGAATACTGCCCTCCCCCATGATGGTGTGAACAGGAGTAAAAGAGCCCCCGGGATATGGGTGTATTTGTGCCCTCCTCCCGTTTCTCTTAATACAAGTGGGACTAACATAAGTTTTCACTACAGTAAAGCCGTATTTGTTTAAAAAGCAGTAGATTGTTTATGTTGTTAACCTTTTGTTAACAGGAAAGATGAGTAACAGTGACTGATTGTGCTGGAATTACTTGGCGCCTTTACTTCTTTTGAGAAAGTGTTTTGACTACAGAACCTGTCTTTGAAAAAGGCACTTCATTTAACTTTTGATTTCATTTGAATTAATGCTGTTGATGTCTCTGCATAGTTCAAAATCATAGGCGAGTAGAGGCAGGGCGATGCTTGGAATAGAAAGATTTTAAAGTTGGTGTGCATTTTTATTTTTGACATGAGATAATTGTATAATGCCCAAATGGAAATTTTTCAGTAAACAAGTGAACATTTAGAATTGATGCCTGGTTTGAATGATAGACTTGCAGACAACTGATTTATGAATTCTTATTACAGTTGGAACTGGAAAGTGTAGACGACTGTAGGATTGTAGAAGTTAATAGTATAAAGACGGATCATGGGGTGATGCACAGAAAAAAGAGAAATGCTGAGAATTCTCCCATGTGGGGTGTAGGAAGAAATCACTTCAGTTCAACTGTGTTTTATGTGCAGTCATAGTAGTTCCTCCCTCCCTCTCTTCCTTCCTTCCTTCCATCACAGGCATGCACCACCAGACCTGGTGTACTTTTAAAAATTTGAGTCAAGGCAGACATGACTTCTCAAACATTTATTTATTATTGCTTGAAGACAACTTTTTTCCTTAGTGGTGATGGAGATTGGTTAATCTGACAGTATTTTTTATTTTCTCTACCACTGAACTACTTTCTGAGCCCAAATTTAGTAAATGTTTGTAATTGGGATGCCTCTGTATAGGAAGAGATTAAGAGATACAAAAACATAGTTTCTGCCTGCCACTGAGACATATGCTTGGATTTAAAGATATGAGCTGTCTCTTGTTCTCAAAGGAAAGGAGTACCTAAGCAGATTCTTTCACTTACTGTGATAGGTACTGGGCAGAGTTATGCAGGATGTATGGTAGTGTATGCATATATCTATATATACCCCAGGAACCCCTAAGAAGGTGGAGGTGGTCTAGAGTAGTCATGGAAGAATTCTTGAAAAGCCAACATGAACAATATATTAGACAAGGAGATTCGTTAAGAGGCTGATACGATAACCTACTTGAGTTAGTGAGGTCCTAAACTGGCTGCCAGGCCTGTAAAAAAATAGAGAGGGAAGTACGTGTTCAGCATTTGAAGGAATTAAACCACTAGGCTATTGGAAGTGAGAGAAAGAGGAGAAATCAAGTGCTAAGTTTCTGACTTGTATGAGTAGAAGGTAATACCAAGGAAAATGATAGATTTTCATTAACTGTGAGTGGAGAAATTAAGTTTTGTATATAAAAATATGATGTTAAGAGTATCAAGGAGATAAGGAGTCGTGCATCCTTAGCTCATTGTTTGCTAAAACCCTGAATGTGGGTATAAGAAAACAAGACTGGATGGCATTGTGTGCAATGCTGCTGTATACAGGCAAGTAGAGAGAGGATGAAGGAGCCTGTAAAGAGAACTGGTGTCATGCTGATGATTTCACAAATGTCAAAAATGACATTTATATCCCTGTAATATTGACAGAGGGCATTTAAATGGAGTAGCAGAAATCTAGGAGGTAGTGGAAATCAGCTACTCTACACAGCCTGATTCCATAAGGAAGACTTTGTGTACAGGTTAGAGGAGTTTGCAGGACAAATAAATTAGTTTCTGTGGTTGGGAAAAAAATTGGACTTGACAATAGAGTGAAAGAAGTAAATTGTAAAGATTGCTGCAGCAGTGCAGTGGAGATAATGTCTCAAGGGAGATGTGACTATAATACATGGTGAGTTGAAGAGGGCATATCAGAATAGAGTTTAGTTTTCAATGAGACGGGGTGGCTATTGATACTGGAGAGCAGGATGGGCTAGCTTGGTTTGTATGCTCTAAAGGTGATAGAATTTATATCTTAGTTTTCTCAGATTACTAGGAAATTGAGTTATTTGCTGAGAGTGATAGGAACAGATAGAAACATGATTAAGGATCATATACACCAACAAGAAAGAATTAGAGTGCCTTGCCTTTGCTGAGATGGGAAATTGAGGAAGGAATATTGTAATCTCATTTATTCCTTGTTTGCTTACATATTTTAATCATTTACCATTATTGTATGTGTAAGTGCATGATGCATTGTGGTGGTGGATGTTCATACTACAGTGTACATGGGGGAGTTTGTAGAGTCAGTCTCTTCTTCCAACTTTACGAGGTTTCCAGGGATGGAACTCATGTCTCCAGGCTTACATGACAAGTGCTTTTACCCAATGAGCCATTTCACTAGCCCCAATCCCATAGTTTAAGTAGAATATTAAAGTAAAATGTGAATAAAATTAAAGCCAATTTAGCCTTGTAGTATTTGGGAATGAAAACTCATTATGAACTAAGTATTTGAAGGAAGGGTGTAACAAGTTACTAGTATTTTGGTGTATGAGACCTCAAAGAAAAAAATGAATTATATTTTTGTTTCCAAACAGTGATTAAAGTGAACAATGGCCAGTAACCACAAATCTTCAGGCCCTCGCCCTATTTCTCGGGGTGGAATAGGGTTAGCAGGAAGGCCTCCTTCTGGAATAAGACCCCCATCTGGAAATGTTCGAGTGGCAACTGCAGTAAGTTGGGAATCTATGCAATGACAGATTTTATTTTGTTGTTCCTTTATTCTGTAAACAATATTAATTGTATGAAAAATGGTTTAAAATATGTAAAAATACAATGTGGAAGAGAATAAGACCATAATCAAGGAATTATGTTTAGTGGTTCCCATAAATATATTTTAAAGCTGCAGTAATTAGGTTTGGGGCAAGGTCTCAAGAGTATTCTATGTATTTTTCAACTAAACTGAAAAACCTCATTACTAAAAAAATTCTTAGAAAAAAATTGAAGAGCGCATGCGTGCGCTGGCTCGCTCGTTTTTCCTCTCTGGCCGGCTGAAGGCAAAATGGGTCACCATTTACTTTTTGTGGTGCCGGGATCAAACACAGGGCCTTGTATTTATTAGGCAAGGTAAAGCTATTATTATAGTTAAAATTGTAGTGTTTTAGAGTAAGAAACAAATGAGATAAAATAGATTAAAACCAGATCCAAGCATTTGTAAGAATTTTTTTTGAAGGTCTCCATTTTTTTATTCTTTGTGTACAAAGACTAGCATGATCTATTTCTCTGGGTAGACAGTCTTGAATAATCCATTCAAGGTTGCTTAGTCCAACTTGATGAAGCCGATGTCCTTCGAGTACTGACGGCACATGTTCAGCCCGTATTTTCGGATTAGACCGTGGCAGTTAGAGCAGATATGGCAAGAGCCAGGGCCCTGGCCGAACTTTCGAACTAACGAACTTCCGCGCGGGTGACTCCAGTAGAGCTGCTGGTGGCCCATTTTGCCTTTAGCCGGCCAGAGAGGAAAAAGGCGCGAGCCAGCGCACGCATGCGCTCTTCAATTTTTTTCTAAGAATTTTTTTAGTAATGAGGCTTTTCAGTTTAGTTGAAAAATACATAGAATACTCTTGAGACCTTGCCCCAAACCTAATAAATTACTTCTTAAAGCAAGTTTTTTGTCCCTCGTCATTTATGAGACTTGTAAAGAGTGTAGAGACTTGGTATTTTAGAGAGTTTATAACTGGTGGAGGAAAAAAAATATATAATTAATATAAACTTGATAAAGTCTGAGGACTTTCTAATAATGGTAGAAAAACCAAGTACTTGAAAATATTTTTAATTTTTATATTTGAACTTACAAAATTTAAAGTACCATAAAAAACGAAATGACAAGCGAGAATGGTTTTTTGTACATGTAAAAAATTGAGACAAATCTTCCTAATATAGCTTGGGCTAGTCTTGAACTCACAACTTTATTGCCTCAGTCGTCTTAGGGCTAGCTATGATTACAGATTGTGCCACCACACACATTATTATTCAGAATCTTTTCTTGTTTTTTTTTTTTTTTTGAGACAGGGTTCTCTGTGTAGCTCTGGCTGTCCTGGAACTCACTCTGTAGACCAGATCCATCTGCCTCTGCCTCCTGAAGGTGCTGAGATTAAAGGTGTGAGCCACCACTGCCCAGTCCAGTATTCAGAATTTTAAAATGAAAAAACAAATTTTACTAATTTGTGTGAGTTTCTTCTAGATTAAAGCTATAAACTCATGTTCAAGTACACTCCATGAGGTAGTTTTTTTTGGGGGGGGATACTGGGGAATAATAGCATAATAGCATTATAAAATTGGGCTCAAAATCTTTCTGAATGGTAAAAACAAAAAGGAGGAAAGGCATAATAATAGCCAAATATAAATATGTGAATGGTATAAGTGAAATTATTTTGATTATCACAGAAAATGAGAAAAAATATTTAGTAACTATTAAGATAATGGCATGTCAGCATAGTCAGTAAGAGAAATACCATATTTGAAAAAGTACAAAGTTTATAAAGTGATCATTCTAAGAAAAAATTGTAACTGCAGAGGTTATTATATTTTCATTATTATAATAATAAAAATTGGAACAGATTGAATGACATTTTAAACATTTTTATTTTATTTATTTTGGGGGGTGGTTTCAAGACAGGGGTTCTCTTTGTAGCTTTGTAAACCAGGCTGGCCTCAAACTCACAGAGATCCAACTGCCTCTGCCTCCCGAATGTTGGGATTAAAGGCGTGCGCCACCACCGCTCTCATTTTAAGCATTTTTAAAGCTTTATTTTTAATTCTGTGTCTATAGGCATTTGTGACTATGGGCCTGTGCATGTAAGTGTAGTGGCCTCCATACACCAATGGAGGCCAGAAGAAGGTGTCTGATTTCTTCCAGCTATAGTTGTGAGCCTCTCATATAGTCCTGGGGAAGGAATTGGCAGTCTTCTGGAAGAGCAACAATTGCTCTTAACCACTGAGCCATCTTTCTACCCCATAAACAAATCTTAAATAAATTATGTCTGTTATTACAAATGGTCTGCTATTAAGGCCGGACGTTTGTGGCGCATGCCTTTAATCACAGCACTCGGGAGGCAGAGGCAGGCGGATATCTGTGAGTTCGAGACCAGCCTGGTCTACAAGAGCTAGTTCCAGGACAGCCTCCAAAGCCACAGAGAAACCCTATCTCAAAAAACCAAAAAAAAAAAAAAAAAAAAAAAAAAAGTCTGCTATTAAAAATGTGTCTGGCTATTATTAAAATTATTTTAAATTATATTTGAGAAAACTTTTTTGTAGTATATTATTTTAAAAAAGCAATATAATATCAATTTAACACAGTAATACACATTTACATGTTGATAGAAATGAAACTGTAGGCTAGGAATGGTGGCATCCCTGTAATCCTAGCCCTCTGGAGGCAGAAGCAGTAGAACCATGAATTCAAAGCCAGATTGGGCTACATATTTCCAAGTCAGCCTGGGGTAATAGCAAGATCCTACCCAGACCAGTCTGCAACAGTAGCAATAGGTGTCTCAAAAAACAAATAACAGCAAAACCCTTTTCTCTGATATAGTATTTTCTGTTATTCATACATATGGTTTTGAGTAACTGAGAAAGTACATAGTGCTGCTATTCAAGCTCCAACAATAGGCCAATTGTAGAAGAAGTGTACTACTGAGTCCTGTGTTTAAAGGACAGCACTTTTTTTTTTTTAAGGGAATAAATGATAGTCATACTTTCTTAAACTTGTATGATTTTCCTAGAGTTTCAGATAATAGTATTATATCTCTATAACCTAAGATGGAAATGATTTTTCTCTTGTTCTATTAATAATTGATTCTTTTGATGCTTGTTAATTAAATATTTGCAAAAGTAATCTGACATTATTGGCCAACTCCTATCTGCCATGCACTTTACCTGTGTGATGTCTATGGTTTTAAAGTGAATGATATTCACTGTAATACAAACAGTGGCTGATTTTGAGAGCTTCTGCCTATTCTGGGCATTGGTATGTATCTTATAAGACTTTTCTGTGCATTTACAGACACAAAAACACATATGTGTATGTATGTTGTGGTCAGATTTAAAATCAGGGTAATACTCTATTTTTTGTCTCTTTCAGTAATTCATTTTTGAATATTCTTCCAAATGAATACATGTACTCACACTTTATACTTCATCTGGTAAATGAGAAGTACAGGTGATTTAAGTAGTTTTCCTAAGTCTGCCTGCATAAAGCAGAAGAAAGAATTGTTTAGAAAGTTACCAAAGCAAAGACTTCTCAGTCTCTCCAAGAAACCACTGTGGGTAACCCTCAACTTTTATTTGAATTGCCACTGTTTCTCTGGAATGTGTACTGATGTTGGCAATGTAGCTAAATAGTTTGCAAGTAATTCTCTGAGTCACTTAAAAACTGGGTTGTTTGATAGTGTTAAAGGCTACCAGCTAACAGAAATAAAAACAAAAAAGTAAATGGCAAAAAATTTAATAGTCTATTATTTTTACCCCATATTTAATCTTCTACTGTACGTTAGTTCTTGGCAGAGAGAGAAATAAAAGAAAAAGGATAAAAAAGATACAAGATACAAAGGGATTTTGGAATGGTTTTACATTGCCTTTTAAAATTTCCCATGACTTATGTGCTGTATAGTTGACAAGAAGAAAGTTGTGGACTTTCCTCAGGATATGTAATAGTGCTTTTTTTTTTCAAAATGAAAATTTTTTTCCTAATTTTTAAGAAAATATATACTCACTATAATAATATTTAAAACACCAGATTCTATAAAGGAGAAAAGCAACTGTCACATCATTACGGAGAAATAATGATACTTTGAGATTTTTTCTTACATTTATTTATCTGGGTGGGAAAGTGGGGAGCACATGCTGTGGTACCCATGAGAAAGTCAGAAGAAAACCAGTGGGAGGCAGTTCTCTTCTGTGTGGGGCCCAGGAATCTAACTTAGATCATAAGGTTTGTCAGTAAGCAACCTCATCTAACTGGCCCTACTTTTTTATTTTTTAGGGTTTTTTTTCTTCTTTTGGTTTGTAGTTCAAATAGGCCTTGAACTTATAAATTGCATAGAGTTTTAATTTTTAGAAAAATTCTCTTTATAATCTTATGTTAGTAGATATATATGTACTTTTTTTTTTCCTAGTTTAATAAAAGTCAAATTTTGCTTGTCATTTAGATGCCACCAGCAACAGCAAGACCAGGTTCTCGAGGCGGTCCCTTAGGGACTGGTGGAGTTTTGTCATCTCAGATCAAAGTTGCTGATCGTCCTGTAACCCAACAAGGTTTGAGTGGAATGAAAACTGGGATGAAAGGTATTTTTTTTTATGAAGATGAATATATTTTGTTCCCAAACTATTACAGCACATCTTAATAAATGAAGAATGTAGCATGTAGTTCTTATTCTTTGACTTATAAAATTATTGTGAAATAATAGAATACATGTGAACTAGAAAGCTATATGCATATATATACATCTACATATACATACATTATATATATACATAAAAGTATTTTGAAAATCTTTTTGATAGCTTTTACTTTAGAATGGTACTTAGTCGGCCAGTGAGATGGCTCCTGATGCCAGGCTTGATTGAGTTTCATCTCCAGGACTGACATGATGGAAGGAGAGAACCAACTCTCGCACACTGTACTCTCACTTCCACACACATGTGCCAGGGCACACACAATTAAAATTTTTAATGTAATAAAAACTTTAAAATACTATTGAAAACATTTATTCGGAGTTAAAAAATTCCCCTTTTTTCCCATTATAATGATTAAGAAAAAAATGAGATTGACATGCTCCTCTCTAAGTCATAATGCATTTTTTTTAATTTATTTATTTTAGAGACAGTTTCAAAAACAGTGGCCTTACATTCACCATGCAACTGATGATAATCTTGAACTTCTATCATCCTATCTCATCTCTCTCAAGTGTTGGTATTACCACACGTGGCTTAAATTTGTTTTGTAAGTTCTTTTTGGTATGATACCAGAGATTGAACCTAGGACCTTGTGTGTGCTAGGCAAATGTCCTACCACTAAGTCATATCCCTAACACCTATTACACTGTACTTGTTTCAGAAATATGATCAGTGTTATGTATAAACCAAATCATGATTAAAATTTTTAGGTTTTTTTTTTTTTTCTTGTGACTAATGATTTCTGACAGCTAAAGATACTTCTGAAGTATAAAGTTAATGTTAAGATAAATTATAATATAAATATAGCAATAATGATATAACTATATAATGTTAAGACATTGTAAGTTGTAGGTAGAGTTTTTCATTGGACCACCAGTTAGCTCTGTCCCACCAGCCTGCTCCCAAATAACCACACAGAGACTTAATATTAATTATAAATGCTCCGCTGTGGCTCATGGCTTGTTACCTCATTTTGTAATCAGAGGTTTCTATGTCCCACCCTGTCCCAAGGCTGCTTCTAAATAATCTCTCAGAGGCTTATATTAATTATTAATGCTCAACCAATAGCTCAGGCTTATTACTAGCTAACTCTTACATTTAAATTAACATATTTCTATTTATGTTTTGCCACATGGCTCAAGGCTTGTTCCCTCATTTTCTTTTCTTTTTTTTTTTCATGAAAATGGAAGTAACTTTATTTGATTCATCAAGTGATTTAAGTAACATTTAGGAACAACCAACACTACATCTAAAATCTATTCAATTAAGAAAAAAGAAAAATGTTGCCCATTTTGCCTAAGTAAGTTCAAATGATTGCTACCCAACATAAAGGAAATATTTATTAGATGGGTGAGAAAAATAAATCTCAAATAGTTAAAAATACATGGCAATTGCTTCTCACCAAATAAATCTGTAACCTTGGATCTTGTGAATTTCCAGTTAACTGTGGTATGTTACATATTTTGACCCATTAAATAAAATATCAACTCTCATAATTTAAGAAAGAAAAGGACCAAATATCAAATCTCTCATTCAGTATAAGTAGAAAGACAAATAAATAAAGTGTAGGATTTTTTCCCCAAAACTACTGATGTCCTGATCATTTTATGAAGAACTTTCTAGTGAGTCTAAAATGCTGAGAGTTGGGTATGAGAAGGTCTATGGCCGATACTGGACATGTTCCTTGCTTTCCAATCTGCTTCTAAGCTACTTTATATGATTATTGCATCTAGTTCTCAGCTTATCTTAAAACTAAAGGACTTTGGAGAAAACATATGGACATATGTGCTATTGGTCCTGTTTAGTGGCACATGAGTTTAGTGCCAGCACTGAGAGTTCAAAGCCAGTCTAGTCTACACTGTGAGCTCTAGGACAGCTAGTGCTACAAAACAGAGAGACTCTCTCTCTCTCTCTCTCTCTCTCTCTCTCTCTCTCTCTCTCTCTCTCTCTCTCAAAAAAAAGGAAACCAAAATAAAAATAAATTAATTTGACATCTCTCAAATTTGTTTCAGAATGCATTTCCAGCGAAACCCTTTTCTGTATCTCAGGTCAATAGACTATGAAGCCTTCCAGGATACACTCAATAAGAATCATGTGGTACACATTTTGCACTTATATGTTTGGGTCAATACAGATGATTTGACCAGTTGTTCCCTCATTTTCTATGTCACCTGCTTGTTCGGCAGCTGGCTGGCATCTCTATTGACTTTCCCGCTCCTCATCTGAGTTCTCAGTTTGATTGTTCCACCTAACCTTATCCTGCCTGTCTATTGGTCAAGCAGCTTTTCTTATTAACCAATGAGAGGAGTACATATTCACAGCATACAGAAAGATCACCCCACAGCATCATTTTCTACACATACTGCTTCCTCTGCATCTGGCTTGTGACTCCTCAGACTCTGCTCTTCTTCTTCCCAGTGTCATCCTACTCTGGGTCTCCACCCACTCTCTTCCTGCCCAGCTATAGGCCAGTCAGCTCCCTACTAATAACCAGTGGTAGCAGTGCACATCCACAGTGTACAAAGATTGTTCCATAGCAGGAAGTCATCTGGATGGTTTTAAGTAGTGTGAGATAATGTACATACATTATGTGAAAGTACTGCAGAGCTTTGTTGGAGACTTGGATTTCAGTGTCAGTTGCAGTCCTGAAATCAATTCCCTTTAGATAATGAAGGAGAACTGTATGTTTATTATTTAATTTTATTATTATCGCGTGCGTGCGTGCGTGCGTGTATGGGGGGGTTGAAGAGACACATGTGTGCGCCAGTGCATGTTTGAAAGTCAGATGATAACTTTCTGGAGTTGGTTCTCTCTTACTTTGGGTTACCAGGATCAAACTTAGTTGTCAGGCTTGTGTGGCAAGCGCATTTACCCACTGAGCCATCTTGCCATTCCTAACCACTGTACTTTAATAGTATGTTATTCCTTTCAGGATACTTAATTTTTTTATACCATATTGCTTACTAAGTAGAAAAGCTGTTGATTATTTAGAAATGTTTGCTTAATTATTATTAATAATACAAAAAATAAGTCTAAATTACTATGTCCCTGACCTTCACATGTGTGCTATGGCATATGTACCCCCCACACATATATCATACAATCTAATGATAATGAAATAGGATTTTTTTTTTTTGGGGGGGGGGTTTGAGACAGGCTTTCTCTGTGTAGCTTTGGAGCCTATCCTGGCACTGGCTCTGGAGACCAGGCTGGCCTCGAACTCACAGAGATCCGCCTGCCTCTGCCTCCCGAGTGCTGGGATTAACCAACGCCTGGCTTGAAATAGGATTTCTTAAAAAGTCCTTTTGTACTGCTCTGTTCTAGGCTTCCATAGGTCTAGTTTCTACCTAGTTAGTCTGTCCTGTAGTGTCTAGTTTCTCTTAAAAATACTGTATTACTATTTTTCAAATTATATATGCATGTGTGTGTATCTGTGTGCGGATCTGTGCACATAAGTGCAGTGAGCAAGCCAGCAGAAGCTTTCAGATTCCCTGGAGTTGGAGTTACTGGCGGTTGTGAGCTAGCTGCCCAGTGTGGGTGCTGATAATTGAACTTGGGTCCTCTGGAAAAACAGTATGTGCTGTTAACACTGAGCCAGTTCTTCAGACCAGAGTCTTGTTTCTTAACAGCCTCACATTTAGTACGATCCTTGTGGTCTAAACTCAGCTTCCTTTATGTCATGATTCTAGGATACTCATTTTCATTGGTTCTTCATGATGTATTGAGGCATTTATGAGGAATGGCTAAGAGCCGTGGCATGTAATGGTGTTTGTGCTTTGGATTTGTTACTTTGGTCATTTTATAACAGAGCATTAATATTCACATTAAAAACTTTTTTAGGTCCCCAGAGGCAAATTTTAGACAAATCTTACTATCTTGGACTTCTTAGGTATGTAAAGTAAATGTTTTTTATGCATGACTTTGGAGTTTTAGTTGTATTTATTTCAATAATTAGTTACTTTTTGAGTTCTAAGAATAATTTTATATTTGAACATAATTTCTGGCTAGTAGACTATACTGTATAATATAATACAATTAGACTGAAATTTGTTACAAGGAGGTGCATGTACTCATGTATTCCTGTGCCCACATGTGGGTAAATAGTCATACAGCTGTTGTGGGAGCATGTGGATGCTGAAGGACTACCTTGGGTGTCACTTTTCAGATGCTGTCCACCTGTTTTTGAGACATGATCTCTTTGCTGCCCTGGAGTTTCTTAAGTAGGCTGGGCTGCTGACTCTTGAACCTCAGTGAGCCTTCTGTTCATGCTTCCCCAGGGCTGGGATTACAAGCATGGACCACCAAACCCAGCTGCTTTATATAGGTTCTGGGGATTGGACTCAGGTCCTTGTGCTTGCAAGGCAAATACTTTATCAACTAAACTGTGTTCTCAGCACTAGGCTGAGAGTTTATGGTTTTATGTAGTTTTGTGTATGTAAGCTGTATATTTTGTCTCAGTCTGTATGTACTGCTGTAATAAAATACCCGAGACTGGTTAAGTTTATACATTACAAGACTTTATTTCTTATAATTACAGAAGTTGCGAAGTCTTGTGATCAAGGCACTAGGAGCTCTGGTGTCTGGTTAGGGCCTGTTCCTTACAGGTGGCACCTTCTTATCTTTATGTCATGGACGAGGAAAGCCGGACCCACATTGCTCTTCCCAGCCCTTTTGTAAGGCACCAGCATTCATGAAATGGCCTTTGGAGGGAGGCGGGTGGAGAGGGCGGGTTGAGACAAGGTCTCTCTACATATGGAACTGGAACTCATATGTAGACCAGGCTGGCTTCTAACTCACAGAGATCCATCCATCTGTCTCTGTCTTCTGAGTGCTGGGATTAAAGGTGTGCACCACTACTGCCTGGAAAGTTTCAATGTGAATTTTAGATGGAACACAGACATTCAAATCATATCATGAAGTTTGCTTTTTTCATGAAGTTAATAATCTTTTATGCTTTTTATATTATTCTAAATATATTATTCATATAATTGAATTATCACTGGTTGTACTGATAAGAAGGAAAGAAGTGTTAGTTTATTTACTTATTTATACTTTAATCATCCCAGAGCTTTATGTAAGTTTATATTTAGTCATTTGATATATGCTTGCCCTGATTTTAACTAATTTATAAGCTCCTCCTTTTTTTTGTAATTATTTTGAGTTGGGGTATCACTGTGTAGCCCTGGCTGTCCTGGAACTCATTATGTAGACCAGGCTGGACTCAACTCACAGAGATCAACCTGCCTCTGCCTTTTGAGTGCTGGGATTAAAGGTGTGCACCACCATGTCTGGCTTCAGGCCTTTTAATAAGGTCTCTTACATGAAGAACTTTAAAAGAAATATGTTATTTTAATTTTCTGTTTATGAATGTTATACATGTATGTATGTATTGCAGCACATCTGTGCTCTTTGCCTGTGGAAGTCAGAAAAGGGCCTTGGATCCACTGGAGTTCTGATAGTTACGAGTTGCCATGTGGATGCTAGGAACTGAACCCTGGTCTTGCCTACTAAGCTGTGTTAATTATTCTTTACCTAATAACTTTCTCTCCTCAGATGTCCTAGTGATGTATCTTCATTTTCCTTTGTTTGGTTTTGGTTTTGCTTCTGTTTTTTTTGCGACAGTACCCTACTCTGTATCACTAGCTGATTTGGAACTCACTGTATAAACTAGGCTGTCCTCAAACTTGTATTGATCTTCCTGCCTCTACCTACCCTGTCATTTGGGATCAAAAGTGTGTACTACAATGTCTGGCCTATTTCATTTAATTTTACTCATTTGTTCAGTGGAATAAGATGAGATAGTCACCATTTGTAGACGGAAGTTTCTGTTGCACTGGGTCCCTCAGCCCTTTTTAGTCCCAAATAAATACACAGAGGCTCATATTATTTATTAACTGTTTAGCCTATGGCTCAGGCTTCTTATTGGCTAGCTCTTTCTTAATTATTAACCCATTTCTATTAGTCTGTGTATTTCCATGTGGTCTTGGCTTACCGGAGAATGCCCAGGTTTCCTACTTTCCTGGTAACTACATGGTGTCTCTCTCACAACTCGCTCTCTGCATTCCTCTTCCCAGAATTCTCATAGTCTGGTAGTTCTGCCTATACTCCCTGCCTGGCTATGGCTTACCTGTCCATTGGCCAAAACAGCTTTATTCAACAACCAATAAAAGAAACATATATTTGCAGCATACAGAAGGACATCCCCCATCAACCATTCTTAGTCACACAAACCCCTGGAACTATTCTTTTTAAACCAATTTGATAAAACCATATATATTGTTACACATTTATGAAAAGTTTATTTTGTTTAACTAATAGTCTTCTCTGAGTTAGAAGCATTCCTAAATTTCTTCTTTCTTTTCACTTAGGAGCAAAATAAGTGAACTTACAACTGAAATTAATAAACTTCAGAAAGAAATAGAAATGTACAACCAAGAAAATTCAGTGTATTTGTCATATGAAAAGAGGTGAGTGATTTTGCAGTTAAAATATGCAAGATCTTTACTAGGAATTCATACCACTGAGTATCAATTCAATATTTATTCAGTATTGTGAACACAATTTATTAAATATGACACCACCCATAAGGGTTTTAATTTTGATCTGCTTATGTATTTATGAATGCATTTGCTTTTGTTTATAGAGCTGAGACATTAGCTGTTGAAATTAAAGACTTTCAAGGACAACTAGCAGACTACAACATGGTATTGCCTCTTTTTTCAGAGAATTTCTCTTGATGTTTTGTTTTTATGCTCTTGCCACTTAAAAATGTATTTTAAATATCAAATAATACACAACTGTATATATGTTTCTTGTGAAGAAATTGGAAGTATAAAAAAATACAGAAATTATACAGAAATTGTATTGCTTTTTTCATTTCCCCTTCATCACTTCTCACTTTTCCACATCAAAAATTTAGTTTACTTATTGGCCAAATGAAGAGTATGGTTAGTTTTTCAATGTTTTTTTCCACTGTAGCTCACTACTTTTTCTTGAAGTAAGACACTTGGTTGTATACTAACACTGAGATGACTAGCTGTTTATGAAATCAAGTATGTATTTTAAGACTTACCTAGAAAATTAAGGCTAACAAAATGGTGCTTTTTGTTATATTTTTTGCTTTTAGTTGGTAGATAAACTCAATACCAATACTGAAATGGAAGAAGTAATGAATGACTACAACATGGTAAGAAAATATATAAATATAGGTAATAATTGTGTATAAATCATATCCTCTAAAATAAAGCATTTATCTAGAAATGGTTTGATAAAACCTAATGGATATAAATATCATAATTAGCACAATTATGGTTCAGTACTTTTCATTGCTCTTTTATATCCCTGTTGCTGTTGGAGTAGATTTTTTTAAAAAGATTTTATTTATTTATTATATATACAACATTCTGCTTCCATGTATATCTGCACACCAGATCTCATAATGGATGGTTGTGAGCCACCATGTGGTTGCTGGGAATTGAACTCAGGACCTCTGGAAGAGCAGTCAGTGCTCTTAACCTCTGAGCTATCTCTCCATTTTGTTATTAACAAAAATATTGTTAACTTATATATATTAGTTAACAATATTTTTGTTTATAACTTCTTTTTTTTAAAAAAATGATTTTTAGGTTTTAATTTTTTTACAAATGGAATTAAAACTCAATGAAAATAATATCTTTAAAATCTTTGTATAGTTTTTTTAGTTAATTATTTAAAGTGCATGGGTGTTTTGTCTGCATAAATGTCTATGCCTTGTGCCCTCAGAGGCCAGAAGAAGGCATCAAATTGCCTAGGACTAGAGTAACAAACAGTTGTGAGCCTCCACATAGGTGCTGGAAAATGAACACAAGTCTTCTAGAAGAGCAGCAAGTGATCTTAACTGATGAGCCATCTCTCCAGCACCTCCTCATAGTTTTTATAATAAGGAGAAAAGGGAATGGATATGATATCAGGTATAGTTAATAATACTAACTTTGGTAAATGAGAATTTGTGTTCAGTATTCATGTTAATATCTAACTTATTTTCATTTTAAACATTTGGATAAAATACAACAAAATCTTATGGTTTATAATTTATTTACATGATCAAAGAATTTTGTGAAAATAGCATTTTTTTTTTTTTTCCTGAGACAGGGTTTCCCTGTGTAGCCCTGGCTGTCCTAGAACTGTGGAGTAGACCAGGCTGTCCTGAAACTCAGAGATCTGCCTACCTCTGCATCTTAAATGCTGGGATTAAAGGTGTGCCCCACATCAGCCTGCCTGCCTCTTTTTTTTTAAAAAAAAGAGTTCTAAATTGTTCTAAAACAATATAATAAATTATTTTTAGTTTCACAATCTTAGAAATGAATTTTATTGCTAGAAGTAAAAATCAAAAACTTTGAAAAGTATTTGGTCATTTATTTGGGGTAGGTCTAGATTCAGGTCTGTGCCCATAAAGTCAGGAGTATTTAGGAAGTCATGAAAGATTTAAGAACACAATTGTGTATGGAAGGCCTCACCATTCAGGGGGAGCAGAAAGGATATGTGATAGGTAGGGTTTTAGTTGGGGGGAGGAGGTAGGGGAGGAGGGACGAGGTTGTCATGTAAAACCATCTTGTTTCTAATTCAAATAAAAAAAAATCTGCAGAAAAAAGGAACACAATTGTGTTGATTCTAAATTCAGCATATGACTAATTAAATATTTATTGAACATACAGTATGTTTTTGAAATGGTTCTTACATAAATTAGGTTTAAATTTAATTATTGGACAAATCACTAAAGAAAAATGAATTATTTTGGTGTGTGCTATAATGTGAATATAAAGGACTAATCTATCTGATAATATTCTTTGTTAGATGAAAGTTGTATTTTTTCTAATTTTTACGTTTTTGCATTATTACAATAATCTCCTTTAGTTCATAACCAGAATAACCTTTGGTTTGATAGTTACCTTCTTTTAATGACTAACTTCTTTGTTAACTGTCTGCACAGCTTAAAGCTCAAAATGATCGAGAAACACAGAGTATGGATGTCATATTTACTGAAAGACAAGCGTAAGTTCAAATTCTTAAATGAGTTTTGGTAGGTTGTTTAACTTGTGAGTCATTTATTTCTTTATAAAATTTTAACTTTTTCCTCTTAATTTGTTTTTTTTAAATTAATTAGCTAATTGTTGGATTCTTATGAGGCAGTATCTTAACTTTGTAGTGTAGGCTACCTCAAATCCACAAGGATCTTCCTGCCTTAGCCTCCTGAGTGCCAGAACTGCAGATAGGAGCCACACCTGGGCTGGGTGTGTTAGTGCATGCTTTTAATCGAAGCACTTGGGAGGCATAAGCAAGCAGATCTCTGTGAGTTTAAGGCCAGCCTCATCTACAAAGCGAGTTCCAATACTCAAAACAAAAACAAGCCAAACCAAAAAGAACCATACCCAACATCTTACTGACATCTTACATTTAAAGTATATATTTGTAATAGAACATGTGTCAATTTTTTCTTAATTTACCATAACATCTCAATGCAAAATTTATCTTAATGTCAAATTATGCTATCTTAATTTACTCCCAAGGAGCTAAATTTTATAGAAAAGAAAGGACTACCCAATTCTATAAATATGATTTCTGCTTCTAAGAACTTAACTCTAAGATGAATTGTCTTTGTATCTATTCTTAGAACTTATCCTAGGCTTTTAACTCTTTTGAATTATAACATTTTAGGTTTACTTGAATTATGATGTTTTAGGTTTACTTTAATGAAAGAGTTATTGGTCAGTAGGCTTTATATATTAACTGACATTGATGATAATTATATTAATATTCTCTATACTGTATATAGACTATGTATATTTATACATAACTTATTTATAAAGACTAAATATGAACTAGCGTTGATTTCAATAATAAAAGTAACAGTGATCCCTACAAAGATAACAAATGCGAATTAAAATAATTTTTAAAATTAGTTTTGACCCATATTAAATACAGCAGCATATGGTAAGGTAAGTGTAAAAGTTGAACTATGGTATATAAACATACATATAGCATTCTGTTCCAGAGGTTTACTACTGTTAATAGGTTTGAGAGCAAGGATATAATTTTTAACCAAAATTACTGAAATTTATTAAACCAAATGCACTCCCATGTATGAAGAATAGATTGTTACATATAATGATGAAATATTTGGAAGAGAAACATAATTCATCTGTTGATTAGAATCAAAGGACTATCTTTCCCCCACCGATCATTAATACTGCTGTACATAGCTTTCTTAAATATGGGGAAGCTGGAAGCCTCTTCCTTCTACAAAGAATACCAAGCTCTTTCTTGAAAAGTTTTCTTGCTTCCATTCCCTCTTTCTTTGAAACCACTGAGCAAACATGTACCATTTACTTTTGTATGTAAGATACTTTTCCAAATACTAGAAAATTACGTATGCAAACATATAAGTTGTAACTCTGAATGCTTCAAAGAATTGAAAACATGTATCCCCATTCTATTATCTCTGAATTTATGCTAATACCCAAATTTCATATATAAATTTTACAGTAACATGTTTTAAAAGTATATATGTTAGAAATAAAAAGTCAAAGCTTTGAAAAGTATTTGGTTACTAGGCTTAATCTTGACTGTATTTTGAAGAACTAAGAAAGGTCATACATATAGACAACAGAAAGACAGCATATGGAAAAAGCTTCCATTTTTGCCATCATTTTGTATGGTTTGGTTCTCTGTTTATTTTGGAAAACCTATTTAGCATAAGCTGGTTGTAGATATAGCCTCAGCATATGATTGCAACAAAGTTTACATTTTAAATATATGATTTTATAACTGAGTTATCCTGCTAGCTTGGCATTGGTCAAGATCAGTTTCCTTTAAAAGCATATTAATTACAATTTTACATTCATTTATTTCTCCTCAGTCATATATTTACTAAATACCCAATAATAAACTGTTGAATATAAGAGATCAGGTGTAGTCTAATCTTAGCTTATTTATGACTTTATTTTACAGTATTTCTCAAAGATTAATTTTAATCTTCTATGTAGAAAATGATATTTTAGCAGAATGATAGATTATTTAGAAAAAGATACCTTAACAATGTTTTAAAATTGATACTTAATAAAATTTATAATTCATAAGATTTATATTCTTTATAAATATATATATATATTTATAATATATATATATATATATATATTTATAATATATATATAAATATATATATATATATATTCTTTATGTTACTGTAAACATGAGAAAGTATGTATTAACACAAATTGGTCTTTTGGTTCAAGGGATATATTTTATTTCCCATCTGTGGACATTCCAACTGAATGTACTTTTTACATGAGCTTTAAAATGTTTTAAATTTATTTATTGTGTGTGTATGCATGTATGGATGTGTTTTGGCATACACGTACCATAGTGTACATGTGGAGGTCAGAGGACAACTTGATTCTCTCCTCCCACCATGTCGGTCTGGGGATTAAACTGAGGTTGTTAGGCTTTGGTGTACAGGCTTTTAACTGCTGAGCTATCTTGTCAGCACTATTTATATAACTTTTAAAAAGGATTATTTTGGGGATTATGACAAAATCTGCATTATTGTCTTTTTGTAAGATGTTATCAGGTACATTCTTTTTTTTAAAAAAGATTTATTACGTATACGGTGTTCTGCCTGCACGTGTAGCTGTATACCAGAAGAGGGCACCAGATATCTTTATAGGTAGTTGTAAGCCACCATATGTTTGCTGGGAATTGAACTCAGGGCCACAGCTCTTAACCTCTGAGCCATCTTTCCAGCCCTAACATGTATATTCTTTTGAGTATCTTTATTTATTAGAAATTGGAACATCGGAATTAGAGCATTGTATACCCATGTATCCATTTCCAAGTAAGTTCTGTCAGCACATTTCAGCTGTGCTCTGTCTTCCATTCTAGTCACTGTCCCCTTTCATGTATATGGATGAAGAAAATCATAGAAAATATGTTACGTATTTTATCCATAAGTAAAGTTCAGTGTTTTACAGATAGCCTTATCTCTAAAATATTCAGATAAATACACTTAAGTTTTCCCACATATAGAATGGTAAAACACAGATTTTGCTGATTTTTAATTCCACTATTTAAAGTGGTAAGTGGTTCAGATTATATTTGCAGTCAAGCCATCATAAGATAATTGGTAAATATTTTGCTTTAGATAGACCCTTCCTATTTAGGGCTAGTGTTTCCAGGGTGTATCCTTTGGTCTGTTAATGTGCTGTGAGCTGTTAGCTATATTTCCAAGAAAGGGTTTGGTTGTCAAGTAAATTTTAAAGTTTCTGTGTGTGTATGGGGGAGGGGGCTGGTGGAGGGAGGGAGAGAGGAAGGGAGGGAGAGAGGTAATGAAAACACAGGGTATTGCACATGCTATATAAATGCTCTTCAGAACTCAATATTTTACTGTGAGTTATTAGAGAACACCTCAGCTTAGTATAATCTATATAAGCACTAAAGGGAAGAATCTTAGTTCACCTTGTTTAAATTCAGATTCTTTTGGTAATTTGACCAAGTACCTTTTTCTCTTTCTGTAAATGCTTGTTGGTGTCATTGTGGAATATCAGTGTTATAGAAAACGATTTGGGAAACATTGTAAAATTCAATATGGCAATTGTATGTATAACCCTTCCTAATAATCACTGTCAAAATCAGTAGTGATTATTAGGGCTTATTGTACCTGTGCTTTAAATTGCTACCAATTTTTAAGGAAATTTTGTTTTTAGGCTCAGGCAGCATTAAAAACTATTCTCCAATTCTGTGAATTCATTTATGAGCATAAGACCAATTTACCATAGTCAAAGCTCACTGTTCCTCACTTTGGTGATATAAATTTAAATTTTAAATTTCTTTATTGATTGATTAAAATTTTAGTATAATTTCAGACACTGCAGCATATGTATTTGTTAATACCAGAATCATTTCATTTTAGTTAGTAAATAATCATCCATGTACTTTCCTGAATATTCCTGATACTAGTAAATGCAGGTAGTGTAGATAAATTTCAACTTCTAGCTAATCAGAGTATGAGTTACTGCATTTAGACTTGATTGTGCAATACAGTAAAAAATAATTGTATGATATTTACATAAGGTACTGGTTAATACAAAAGTCTGCTGGTTATAGTTTTGTTTGTCAAATAAGAATCTTTTCCTCTAAGCTGTAAGTAGACTGATAATATTTTTCAAAATTTCAACGTGATAAAATTATTTTTCTTCATGTACCTCATTGATATCTATATATCTGTCTTCAATAAACCCATCATCATCTACCACAAATGAATGCAACTGTTCAAATATTACTGTGGTGTCTTCAGAGTTCGTATCTGTGATTTGTGAAAGAGAACTTGGGTTTCTAGTAAGATCAGTTTCATAGATTTCTGCTTCGTGCTCTTCTAGGCGATGATGATTGTAACTAAGCAGAATATTATACCATACTGGACACTTGATAGCGATAAAGATGAGGAGTGAAGTTATCAGTACAGTGATGACAACACCAACAAGGAGAGCCCAGCTTTTTCCAAGAGGTTCATGTTCTTAAATAGAAGAGAGAGAGATGTTGTTAAGCTGATATAAGTCAAGCAATGTTGGAAAGGAACATACTTTACAGTTTTCTTTGAATTAAAGTTGCTAATACACTAAAGAAAAATTTGGTCAAAGAACATTGTTTTCCAAAATGACTAAAGTTGAGCAATTCTAATTAAAAGACCCAAAATCTGTAACTAACTCTGATCACTAACATGGTTTCACAAGTGGAAATTCCATAGCTGTCCTCAAGGATCAGACCACAGTAAAAACACAGATGCCAAAAAGTATTGTGTAAAATTAATCTTCAGACTACATGCATGTGGTTTTTTGACACATGAATGAATATTGTGTGTAGACTTTTATCCCCTCTCATGCATATGCAGTAGTCCATATTAAAACAAAACCAGCTATTATTATCAGCTCACATAAAACCATTAACTTATACTTGTAAAGTGTAGTGTCTTGACTAGTAAAATAGTTAGCTAACTAATACACAATTTCATGTGCATGATATCTAATAGAGCCTCCGTTGGAATCACAATATTTTGTAAATCTTCATTGAGATGAATTGTTCTTTTACATTGTTCGTAAAACTCAAAGTAGTGAAAGACAAAGAGAACTTGTGGTTAGTCAAACACCTTCAGCAATAGTAATATACAAAATGAGTACATTACCTGACTTCTTTGTTAAGTTGTTTAAGGGGCTGTTAGAAGTTGAATTCCCAATAGACTGAAAATCAATATAAAGATCTTCGGTTATAGTGGAAATAAATTTAGAGTGGCATTCAGTTGAAAAGGGTGCTGACTTGATGCTGTAGTGCTTTAGGTCATCTGGGTAGCTACACATGGTGATGCTCTCATTTTCTGGTAAAGAAATAAATGGCGATGTATTATAAACAATAGAAGTGGCTCATAACACAATGTTGATTTAGAATTTTTGATAAGTTGGTTTCATTAGACAATAAGAAGGACTGGAAAGTTATCTCAGTGGTTCAAGCACTTGCTACTCTTGGAGAGAATCTATATTTAATTTCCAGTTTCCACATGATGGCTCATGACCATCCTTAACTCTAGCTCTAGGGGATCCAGTGACCTCTTCTGACCTTTGCAGGTACCTGGTACACACATGGTGCACATGCAGGTAAAACACTTAAACGTGTAATATAAAATAAATGAAACAAAAAATTTTATTGTAAGAAAAGAACTTCTGATGAATTTGCATGTCAACATGAGTGTTGATGTATATGTATTCCTGTTATACAGGGTAAGTGCAGTATGTGTTGTTTAGTTTGTATGCTAGAAAGTCTCTGATTATTAAGATTATTGTTATAATCTAGATCCTAAGCAGAGCATGATGATATGCAGTTAACAAAATAAGACAATACCCTGAGTTCAAGCCCCAGTGCTGGAAAACAAATAAAACTAAGGCTCCTTTTCTTGAGTATTTTGTGATACAATACCCTAAGTAATATATAGGAAGTATGAAGGAAAATTACTCTTTTTTTTTTTAAAGCTAGGATCTCACTGTATAATCTCATTGTGGCTGATCTGGGACTCACAGAACTCTGCCTCTGCTTTCCAACTTCTGGAATTAAAGGTTTGCACTACCATACCTGACATGTAGAATTAATAGTATATAATGACTCTGCATGTTTAATACTATCTTCTTGTACATACCAATGTTTAAATTACTACCTCTTACCAGGTAAGGTGAGAGCGTGTCTATTCTGCAGTTTCTTTCAGGTGGTCTTTTGCTTTTTGTTGTTCTTTTTTAAATTAAATTAGAACTTTTTGTTGTTCTTTTTTAGTTTGGTTTTGGTATTTATTTATTTATTTACTTATTTATTTATTTGGTTTTGGTTTATTTTTAACTGTGCTAGAAATTGAAGTTCAAGGCCTGAGTCTATCAATGAGCAATACTTCTAGCCAAGCTGTTTTCTTTTATCTATTCTAATTCTGACATAAGCCATCAAAGCTCAGTTACATTGTCTTTTTGCTTACCTAATGTCACATGAGACTTGTTCAGCCAGTTCTGCAACTCGAGTAGACTACAGGTGCAGTTCCATGGATTGCCATCCAAAGTTAGTAACTCCAGATGGAATAGTTGTGGTGCAGCGAAGTGGCTTATCAAGTTGCCTTGCAGATTCAGTACTTTCAGGTTGTTTAGAGGCACAAATGTATTGGGATTCAGTTGTAATATTTTGTTTTGGCAAAGATACAACTCTTTTACTTCATTTAAGCCAACAAATGAGCCTTGTTCAATTACACTGATGGCATTTCCACAGATATTTAAAATTTGCAGGTTGGAGAGATTACTGAAGCTATTATTATATATGACAGTAATGTTATTCTCCATTAAGTAGAGCTCTGTGAGTAAAGAATACATCTGTAGCACCCTGATGTCTGAAGCATTGAGGGTGATCTGGTTATAACTGAGATCAAGGATGGTAACATTGTTACTGATATCCTCTGGAATCAAGGAATAATTCCTTCCCGTGAAATTATATTTGACTTCCTAGAAAAGAAAAAATAGAAGTGCTTTAATCAGGAAAAAATTCTAACAGAAGTGATTAAAATTACATGTCCAAGATGAGATATTAGATAAAAATAATTCTGGAAAAATTATACTTTAATTGGAAAAAGAAAGAATAAACATTTCTTTGTGGAGGTGAAATGCTAAAGATTAAGGAAATTCCAGTATAACTACTCAAGGAGAGTACTTTGTTCCACAGGTTATCTTTCACCTGTTACTATATAAGCATTACAGAAGGAATATTGCTATATTTCTCCTAGAGAAATACAAGATAAATAACAATTTGTTGACTTACTTAGGAATGTTAGCACATGCCTGTGATCTCTGCACTTGGGGAGACTGAGGCAGTATACTAACAAGTTCAAGGCCAACCTTTCTATACAGTGAGATGCTTTCTCAACACAAAAAACAAAAAACAACTAAACAAAACAGACTAAAACTTTATTTGATGTTAGTTAGCTGTTAGCATGCACGATAGATATATATGGGAAAGTTGTTGAAAGTTGTTGAAACTTTAAAATTTAAAGTTTGTGGCAATACTATCACATACCTAGGCATATTAAATAATTCAAGTCAATGCCCACCAATCTGTTGCTTTAACAGCCTGAAACCTTGTTTTTTTAAGAAATTGCTTTCTATCAAATATAGAACCATGCTGGCTGTAGTGATAAACACTTTTGAACCCAGGCAGAGGCAAATGGATCTCTGTAAGTTTAAGAACAGTCTGATTTATATATTGTCTCAAAACAATATCAAATTAAATCATGATTGTTAATGAGCTATATATAATACAAGAAATGATTCCCATATGTGGCTATACATCAAATAAATAGTTCTTGACAGTCTCTACAATTGATACAGTAATGCAGTCAGATGGTGGTAAGTTATGTCAGTGAGTTTTCTTACATGTTATGATTTTTATTGATTGATGCTGGTAGGTTTTTGTTTGTGTTGGTGTTGGTTTTATTTGCAATAGGATCCCAGTGTTTGCATGAGCTGGCCAACTCCTGATCAACCTGCCTCATGCTAATACATTCTGGATTACAGGTGTATGCCAACCCAACACTTTTAAGTAGCTTAGTTACTTAAAATTTTTATTTTGGCAGAACTGGGGCTTGAACCCAGGGCACTAGACAAAAGCATGCCCACTGAGCTCTATCCCTGGGATATGTACTATTTATTTACAGAATTATTATTTTGTATATAGTGTAGTATGTGCATGAGGAGGAGGAGAGGTCAATGTTGGGTGGAATTCAGATCCTCTTGCTTGCACTAAACCATTTCCTCAGCTCTCTTGCCCCATCCTATGTTTTGAACTCATAGTTTTTTTTTTCTTGTCTTGAAACTAATCTCTGATTTTATAGTGAAAATTTTCAGAGTTTGACTTTATTCAGCTTTTTTATTTTTTATTTTTATGTTATTTGTGAGTTCCTACATGTAAGTATGTACATCATGTATCTGCTTGGTGTCTGTGGAGGCCAGAAAAGTGCTTCAGAACTCCTGGTTGTGAAGTTGCAGATGCCTATGGGTTCTGGGAACTGAATCTGAGTCCTCTGTAGGAGCAGAGAGTGCTCTTAACTGCTTAACCATCATTTTATTCCCATTTGAAACCAATTCATTCTACAAAACAAAGAATGCTTTTGCTCAGAGGTTACAGAATGTTAGTATATATAGATAAGCAAATATTTAATTTTTAAGTTTTATTTATATTTGCACATGTGTATGGTGTGTGTGTGTGTGCGTGTGCATGTGCGTGTGTATGAGTGTGTGTGTGTGTGTGTGTGTGTCTCTCCATGCACATGCATGTCATGGCACATGTGGAGGCAGAGGACAGTTTTCAGGAGTTCTCACTTTTCATAGTGGGTTTTGGAGATGGAACTCAGGTTGCTACGCTTGGTGACAAGCACCTTTAGCTGTGAAGATACCTGACTGGTTCTCAAGAGTTAATTTTTAATAGTTCATCAGTTGTCTTTATTTTTCTTTTGTTGGTCTTTTGTTTTTATATATTTTACTACCTTTTTTACTATTGGTTGTAAAAACTTACTGTTTCAGAGGCCTGGCTTTTGTCAAATAGTAGCAGCGTAGAGAATGGCCAAAACAAGGTCATGAGACATGTGACTCTCATATTGAAGGCCTAAGAGAGAAGAGAATAATTTCAAGAGATGAACTTCAGAGGTTGAGGACACACTGATTTCCCTTTTCACTTTTACATATATTTTTCTTTTAAGATACATGAACTGTGAAGCAATCACATTGCCTTTCATTATCCTGTATATTAACCATCACAGCCCCTGAAACTCAGTATTTTTCTGGAGTGTCTTATTAGCTTCAGATCTAATGAAAAAAGCCTTATAAACAATTTAAATACTTGTGTTAAAAATTTTCAGCAAATGGTTAGATAAAAAGCCCAGAGGAATGTATATTTACAATTACATACATACTTAAGTATATACTTAAATTGGTACTTGTTGATATTTCAATTTTGGGTGTTGAATTGATATTATAGAATGATTTGTAGTGGTAGAAGATAAAAATTACTACTTTTCTTTGAAGTATTCTCTACCATATCTCCAGTACATTGGCTGTTCACTTTCTAACATATACTTAATGGGTTTTACCAGATGAATATTCAGGGTTTATAATATCATAATCACATATAAACTATTGGTTACTGAACCATGTAACATGATTACTTTTTCCATTTTAGACTTTTTTCTGCTAAACTGAGCTTTTAAAAAAATGTGTGTAATGTTCCATGTTTTGTTTTGTGTGTGTGTGTGTGTGTGTGTGTGTGTGTGTTTGTCTTTATTTCTGTGCTCTCCCATAGCAAATTTCTCAGTTAGTAGTGCATAGTAAGTACTTCCTTATTGTCAACTACATGGAAAGCCTCTCCTGGAGCCTGTTGCTGTGCTAAGTCTAGACATGCTGACTAGTGGATGAAGTTTCATGTCTGACTTTGATCTTTTATGGGCACATTCTCTGCAGTCTTTGTTACAGATTTCTGTTTTTTAGGATTCATTGTCTTGTTTTATTGTTTTGGGTTTTTGGTGGGCATCGTAACTTCCAAGAAGGACCATGGAAGGACATTTTGTTTTGTTTTTCGAGACAGGGTTTCTCTGTGTAGCTTTGGAGCCTATCTTGGCATTCACTCTGTTGTTCAGTCTGGCCTTGAACTCACAGAGATCCGCTTGCCTCAGCCTCCCGAGTGATGGGATTAAAGGCATGCGCCACCAATGCCTGGCCCTTTTTGTTGTTTTTAATCTTTACAGATTTTGGCTAGAAATTGAATTCTAGGTAGGAAATAATTTTCCCTCAAAATGCTGATGGCCATTGTCTTTAAATTTCAGTACTTATATTTTTCTCACTCTTCGTCATCTTATCTAACTTGCCTCTCCCTAATCCTCAAAGCACCTGAAGTCACTATTTTCAATTTCATGATCTTGTGCCTTTTTAGTTTGCTTTCATCAGTCAAATTGGGTACCTGGTTGTCTCTTCCAATCTGGAAGTTACATTACTCATTTCTGAGAAAATTAATTTTTGAATTATTGCACTGATTGGTAATACTATTTGTAGAACTGCCTAAATTGTGTATTGTACCATCTGGAATAACCTTCTTTTTCCAAATCCTTATTTTCTTATTGGAGAATTGATAAACCCTGATTAGAGAATGACCAGAACAAGGTCCTGAAGCATGTGACTTTCATATCGAAGGCTAAGAGAAAAGAAAATAATTTCATTTCAAAAGATGAACTTCAGAAGTTGAGGACGTACTGATTTCCTTTTTTTCTTTTACATATATTTTTCTTAAAATATTTATCTTATATATCTTGTAGTTTTGCTCTACATTTTGGAGATAATCTCAAGTTTATCCCTAAGGGTTTTTTGTTGTTTTGTTTTTTTTCCTGCATCCTTTAGATTCTAGACCTCTTTTTGTTCTCTTAGTATTTTTTCCCAGTAGGCCCTGCTGCATGGATATATTTTCTTCCTCCTCCTTCTCTTCCTCCCTTCCTTCCTTTTTCCCCTCAACTGTGTGTTTGTGTATGCATTACTGACTTTAGATGTTCCTGTAGATGAATGTGCTGGACTTTTGAGGAAGCTCTCAAATGTCTCAACTAGCCTTCCTTTCAGACTAGTTGTATTCCACAAAATAACTTTTCTAAATTACTTCCTGTACACAGAAGGCTTTGTAGCCATCATTCCAAAAACAGAGTGGTAAAAAGGTGATTTAATACTAATATTTGGTGTGTCAGCTATAAGTTCATCTCAACAGTGTTCACTTGGGCCTAGTATCCAGATTCCTCCAAGAAAAAGAAAGCTCTTACCTTCCGTAAAGGAGGAACACCACGTGTCAGGGCAGAGGTACAGAGGACTTCTTGCCTTCTCCTCTACTTCCAAAATACCTGATAATGGTAATTCCTGAACATTCTAAGTTCCTGTAATAGAAATCAAGTGGCTTTCTGTTTTTTTTTTTTCCCACTGTTTAACATGGGAAAAATTTGCTTTTGCAGTTACCATTTAACTAACTTTTAGACTTCTAAATTTTACTACTGTTACTCCCTAGTCCATTCTCTCTGTTCTTGTGAGTTTATAATTCCCTTTACCTTTAACTTTTATTGTAGTCAAGTTTTGAATAGAAGCCAAACTTAATAGGTGTGTGTTCAACATCCTGCTCACAGTAGAAATTGCTCCTTTAAAAAGTTAATATTCTTAGCATTCATTTTCAACTCATCATTTTATTTATGATGGTATTTAATATTCCCTGTTTACCTGTTTTCTCAAAGTCATCACATATTTGAAAGGGTATAATTATTTCCTGTCATCTTTAGGGGATATTTTAAAATTTAGTCACTTTTACCTTTTTAAAGCATTTGTTATACTTATTTGAGTTTTTTGTTTAAAGAGTTTATTGCATCCAAGCAAGAAGTCGAAAAACAAAGTAGAGTAAGAAGATTGTTTTCAAGTTACTGAAGTCTGTTTGCTCATAGGTGATAAGAATTTATTATTTTTCAGTGCTGGTCTGTTCTTGTCCACTTGTTCATTGCTTTCAATTTGTTGATCTGTTTAGTTTTATTTCCTGTCTTCTTTTTCCTCCTAGATTTTATACAATGTAAGTTTCATACCATATACATTTTATCACTCTTTTAGAGCCAGAAATGGGACTAAGCTACAACTTATTTCACACCATTGGCCAAAAAAGGAGATGCCTAGGTCATTTATGAAAGCTAGCTTACTTATACTTAATGATATCTAGGAGTAGTTGTACAGCCTCTTTGATAGCTTGCACAGTGGTATGGTCAACTAGTACTGATGTCACAGTGGTATGCACACATGAGTGAGGGAGGGGAAGTAATGGTTTTTCAGGCATATGGGATAATGATGGTTAAAGAAAGCAAATAGGCTATAAAAACCCTAACTGACTTAAATGAAGAGTTTCTCTGGAGAAAAGAAGCAAGTGAGGGCCATGGATGGTGGTGCATGCTTTTAATCCCAACTCTAGGGAGGCAGAGGCAGAGGCAGAGGCAGAGGCAGAGGCAGAGGCAGAGGCAGGAGGATCTGTAGGAGATTGTGGCCACCCTGATCCTCATGTGTATTCCAGAACAGCCAAGAGTACAAAGACCCTGTCTCAATAAACAAAAAAACAGACGAGGAATAAAGTGGAGTGGAGGTAGGCTGTGAGCCAGTGGAGAGAAGGGGCTAGAGGATCATATTATATTTGTCATCTAGTAATTGTTTTCTATAGTGTACTAAAAGAAAAGTATATAGATTAGAAACATTTTTCTTAATGAATTTTAGACTTGAAAGCAACATATACTCAAGGTTCTACTTTGAACATATCTGCAGCATTATTGTGCTTAAAGTTGTAACCTACACTGTCTATAGGCTTTTTCATATTTGTTGCTAGGGGAGAGATTAACAGAGAGTGAGTGTTGTGATGCTACATAAATCCCCAGACAAAACCATTTCTTCAAAAGTTTATTTTTAAAAAGGCAGTTAAAAAAAGCCATTTCTTTCGAGGTTTTTCTCAAATTGAATTTAGGAATTTTGGCCTATTTTTACATGACATACAGGAGATAAAAAGATGCTGTATTTACTTTGATTTTATTAAATAAAGCCTGGAAGTAATTTTGTCCTTCAATATTTTAGATATTTATACCATAATACAGTACATTTGGAGTGAGATGCTAATGATTAAGTTAGCTTTATTCCTTTTCTTAACTACTATGTGATTTTTGAATTTTAAAACTTAAATAATAAATAACTGATATTGGAAATTATCTTTGAAAACTCTTTAATAATAGTAGTTATCATCCAATTTCAATAATTTCAACTAATGATTCTTTTAATCTTGTAAATTTGATTTAAGGTGAAAGTTACTTCAGACTTCTGTGATTAACATTTAAAAACTTCAAAAACGTTCTTAAAAATTTGATTAGCTAGATGAAAACTTTATTTGTAAAGAGCCATTGGCTATTTTGTGAAAATATGATCATGTTTTTTTGCTCGTTGTCACTAAAGGCAAGGGTTGTTCTACAGATGTAACAAACTTAATTTTTTTTTAAACTCAGTAACAACAACCAGACCTTAAGTATATAAGATCTTACCTTTGCTTTGTCCTTTTTGTATCTGAGACGGGTGTGCTCAAGACATGTATTCTGGTTCTTCTACACCATCAGGAAAACCTGTGTCAGATGATTGCATTTCACTGTTTTAACCTTTGGACCCAGTTAACTAGTGATTAGGAAGAAGCTGGCGTTCCTTAGCAAAAGATTGACTAGAAGCCTAGTTTCTTAAAGACAGCCTTGACTTTTTTAGTGAAATAAATAACAGTTTGCTTAGTTTTTGTGTTTTGTTTCAAAATTTTATCAAAATATTGACAATTTTATTTTGTGAGTTAAAATGTACAATATTTAGAGTATTTTTGAAAGATGTTTTTAGAGCAATGTGGGTTAATTATAAAGCTATTTTGTATTTTGTTAGATTCAAATTAAAAGTATACCACCAAGTTTTATATTCTGCTGTCTTTCAACATTGTTGTTTGCCCATTTTATGGTATCTGGCTTTTATTAGTCACTTTACTGCCAGGTTATAACCAGGGCAAAGTGCTCAAGCCGTCTAAAGACCGGACAGCCATTAAATGCCTTCCGAAAATAAGATACCTTCCTTGTGATGTAATCTTAGCCCTCTGTAAATGGAATACTATACAATATTAGCTCCCATTTAACTGCAATGGACATAGGAAGAAACAGTGTTTGTTGAATAATAGAATGTAGAATGATTTTTTCCCCCAAAAGATAGCTCCTTAATGTTTTAGTAAACTTGATAAAACAAAGAGTGAAATAAATAGCACTTTCTGCTTCAGCTTTCTGTGAGTTCATGCACTCACCTATATTTTGGTAGCAGAAAGCACATTGTTACATTATAATTATTGATGATCAGAGGGAAGATATCACTGTCTGTTCAAGAGTGAGGCAAAAGTGAGTGGGAATTCTGAGTTGTTTGTTGTTACATTACCTTGATTTGAGATGTTTGTAGGAAATGTTCTAAGTTTCGGTTCCTTTTGCTAGTTGTAGGATGTGAGTGTATAGAAGGTATGTGGATCTAATGGACTTAGCCGCTAATTGATTGAAGACAGTAGAGATTGTTATCTATGAGCCGAGGCCATAAATAATGATAGGTTAATCAGATTTTTGAAAACCAGTGAGAAATTCATGATCTGGGTACTAAAAATTTGTTAATCAAACTCACTCTTTCCATTTTTCTTTCTCCTTTTTGTGACAGGCTCTTACAATGCAGTTCTGGTTAGCCCAGAACTCCCTATGTAGACCAGACTGGTCCTGAATTCATAGGTATCTGTCTGCCTCTGCTGCTCAAGTTCCAAGATTAAAGGAGTGGGTGGTAATAATAAATTCTCTCAGCTTTCTTTAATGAAATGACCCCAGTAGGTCAACCACTTTTCTAGGACAGGCTCCACTCCCATGAGAATTGCATAACATAAACTGCACTGTACTGAGAGTACAAGCGAGAACTCAAAAGTTGGGGGGAGAGAGGGAGCTATGTGAGGATAGAGAGGGCAGATATGAGAGGAATAGGGGATCAGAATACATTATATGATTCCCAAAGAATTCATAAACATACTATTTTTAAATAGAAAGTTTCTGTACCCTATTAGTAATTGATTGTGTAGAAAATAAAATACAGGGTACACTAATGGTATTTCTTGTGATTATATTATGATTGCATGATTAGAATGATCATTGCTATTATTATGTAATAGTTATATTTTTCAGGAAATTAATGTATTGTGGTACTAAAATATGCTTGTTAAATACCCATTTGTCTTGGTTAGGGTTTTTATTGCTGTGAAGAGACACCATGACCTTGGCAACTCTTACACTGAAACATTTAATTGGGATGGCTCACCACACAGTTTCAGAAGTGTAATCCATTAACATCATGAAGGGGATCATGATGGTGTGCAGGCAGACATGGTGCTGAAGTATGCAGGCTACAGGAAGTCGACTGACTGTCACAGTGAGGGAAGCTTGAGCGAAAGAGATCTCAAAGGACACCCCCCACAGTGACACACTTCCTCTAACAGGGCCACACCTCCTTTAGGGGCCATTTTCTTTCAAACCACTGCAGCATTGTATTTAAAGCAATAGGTAAAAGCACATTTAAGCAAAGCATATTATTGCTCCTAAGGTATAATTTCTTTTTAAGTTTTTATTAGAACTTTATTATTGTTGTGTATACACATGTGCACATTGAGTGCCCAATTAACATGGCGAATGTATGGATTTGGTCTGTCCTGCTTTGGGTTCCACAGACTTACAGATTATCAGGCATGTGCAGCAAGCACTTTGACTCACTGAACCATCTCACCCAGTCTATGATTTTTCTTTTTAAAAAAAAGTCTAATTGTGGGGTTGGCACAATTGCTCAGTGGTTAAGAGCACTTGTTTTTGCAGAGTACTGGGGTTTGATTCCCAGCACCCACATGGTGGCTCACAAATCTCAGTAACTCTAGTTGCAGAGGACCTCTTCTGACTTCTGTGGGCATTCTGTGGGCACCAGGCACACATACGGAGCACATACATGCATGTATCAAAACACTCATTCACATAAGATAAATAAATCTGAAAAAAGTATTCATATTGCAGTGTAGCTCTCCATATTGGCCAGTTCAGTCTGAGCTGCCTTGATTTACGTAGTGACTTTCTATACAGAGTTTAACTTATTCAAAGATGTTTGAAAGTCATTATTTTAAATCTAAAACTTACTTTTGGAGTGTGATCACTGTAACACAAGTTCTAATAGGTCTTAATAATAAAAGCCTGGAGTCAGATATTAGGGGGTGAAACCTGAAAGATCAGAGAAGCAGAGCAGCAGGCCATTAGAGCTCTTACCGCTATAAAATCCTCAGACTGTGAAAAGAGATGGAGTTCCTGTTTCCTCCCACCTATATTCCTCTCTCTCACTTCCTGTCTGTTTGTACACACCTCCAGACCTCTATGGTCAGCTAATGGCTAGCCCTGCCTTCTGGTCTTAAGGCATATCACTACAGATTACCAAAAGATTAAATGAACCCTAATATATACACAAGGCCTGAGAGATTATATTTGATAATCTTTCTCTTTTATTCATACATTTAAATGGAGAATAAAGAAACTGGATTTGGGAATGCAGAAGAGAAAAGTGTGTGCTAAGGGGATGAAGTTTTATATACTTTTAAAATAGAAATATAAGGACTCTCTTTTATATACTATGGTTGATTTTCTTTTTAAGTACCTCTAAATAAAATTATTTGATTTTTTTTCTCAATAAACTAACAGGAACATTCCATGCTTTTGATTTCAGGAAGGAAAAACAAATCAGAAGTGTAGAAGAAGAAGTTGAACAAGAAAAGCAAGCAGCAGATGGCATTATCAAAAATATGTCTCCTGAAAAACAAGTCAAGTACATAGAAATGAAAACCACAAATGAGAAACTGTTGCAGGTAATATTACCCTGGAGTGTGTGCTAGGCATGTAGCACCATGTTCCATGTGGTCAAGGTACATTTTTTTTTAAATTTTAGAGGCACTCATATTTACATATGCATCCCCCCCATTCCCTCGCCCTCCATCCTCCCATGTTCCCCACCATGACCCCCCCTCAGCCCACTCCCACCTCCTCCCCAGGGATAGTGAGGCCTTCCACGGGGAACCATCAAAGTCTGCCACAACATTTGGGGGAGGGCCTAAGCCCTCCTTGCTGTATCTGGGCTACAATAGTATCCCTCCATAGGGAATGGGCTCCTAAAGTCCATTTGTGCTCTAGGGTTAAACACTGGCTCCTCTGTTAGAGGTCCCATAGACTGCCTTGGCCTCCTAGTTGGCACCCACATTCAGAGGGCTTGGTTCAGTCCAATGCTGGTTCCCCAGCTTTGGGACTAGAGTCTCCATGCTCTCAGTAGGTCAGGTCAACTGTCTCTGCAGGTTTCTGCAGCACCGTCTTGGCTCCTTTGCTCATCCCTCCTCTTTGCAACTAGATTCCAGGAGTATGGTTCAGTGCTTAGCTGTGGGTGCCTGTTTCTGCTTTGAACAGCTACTGGATGAAGGCTCTAGGAATGGTAGCCAAGATAGTCATTAGGCTCCCAATTTGCCCAGAGGTTTCAAGGTACAATTTGAAAATGAACATCAGTGTCTCTCTGAGCACTGAACTGTAACAAAGTCCTCAGCTAATTTCCGTGATCTTTGAAGGGTGAGAAGCACTGATACAGGATTCATTTTCTTACGTTGCATGATGTTGTAGCTTTTAAAAAAATACATAATAGTTTAGTTCTCTGCATCTTTCAGTCTAATATGTCATAAAGGTATATGAATACACTTGCATGAACCTATTTATTTGAGACAAGGTCTCACTATTTAGCTATGGCTGCCTTGAAACTTGTTCTTTAGACCAGGCTGGTATTGAACTCAAAGAGATCCTTCTACTTCTGCCTCCTGCCTCTGCCTCTGCCTCCCGAGTAATGGGATTAAAGGCACACACCACCACACATGGTCTAAAAACTTGGATTTTTATGGACTTTTAATGGAAACCTTAAAGGGGCTCATAGGCCAGAGGAACATGGATGTTAGTTTTCTTTCATTTTCCTCCATGTTTGATAAGCAACAAACCTTTTACCTGTTGTATCCCTGATTTTTTAAAAGAACAGTTTAGGTGCCTGCTGATAATCCTCTTAGAGGTAACCATCACCATATTTCTTCAAGCCCAGATGACACTCTTCCTGAAGGATTACCAAATAATTGGGCCAGTAATCACCAGTAATAAATATTGTTTATTTCCCAGATATTCCTTCATTTAATTTTAGTAGAATTTTTTTTTTGAGACAGGGTTTCTCTGTGTAGCTTTGGAGCTTGTCCTGGATCTCGCTCAGTAGACCAGGCTGGCCTCGAACTCACAGAGATCCACCTGCCTCTGCCTCCCGAGTGCTGGGATTAAAGGCATGTGCCATCACCGCCTGGAGAATTTTTTTTATCTTAGACAAAATTTATTCGATAAAAATGGTCATTGAAGAAAGAATATTGTATAAATGCCAAGCTATTATCAAAGTATATTAAATTTTATACAGGGGTTACGAATGACTAATCAATGGTTCTTTCTCTTTCATCTCTCTTTCTTCTTTCCTCCTTCACTCTCCTCTTCCCTTTTCCCTCTGCGGCCAATTGTCTTTACCTCCCTCCATCTTTCTCCCTTTGTCCTCCTCCTGTTCATCGTAAGTCTTGGCCTTAAAAACAGTCAAAACATGTGAGGATGTGGCTAAAGATTAGAATTTTAAATATTGATTTTGCGCAATGATATCATTAGTTTGAAGGTTTCTGATAATTATTCAGAACCCTGTGGATCCCCTAACATTTCCCCTGTGCCAGACCTCTCTCCAAACCTGTACTGTCTCCCTCTATCAAGGCATCTCCTTTCTTGCCCTCCTGCATTCCTCCCCTGTCTCAGTCCTCTTGTTATCCTCCCCAACCCCCCCCCCTCGGTGCTCCCAATTTGCCCAGAGGTTTCAAGGTACAATTTGAAAATGAACATCAACAGAATATTGATTTTGCGCAGTGACATCATTAGTTTGAAGGTTTCTGATAATTATTCAGAACACTGGTAGGATAATTGTGACAAACTTATGAAGGTTTGAAGGTATGTGGGAAGGCTTTTAGAACTAGTGAAAGGAACTATCACAAATAGGATGAAACCTTAGTAAGTTGTAGTTAATGTGAAAAGATAGAAATTGAATATATTTAAAAAATCTACTTTAACACATTTATAGGTGAGATATTAAAAAATTAAAAAATTATTACTTTATATTTGTCTTTTTCCCCCTTAGGAATTAGACGCACTTCAGCAACAATTAGATTCATTGAACATAAAAAAGGAGAGCCTAGAAACCGTGAGTATAAGTCATGGGAGTGCTTTCCTGTCACTAAGTTCTGAGGTAACTCAGGGGAACATTAACTGAACTCATGCACTCATCAGTTTATTAACAGGAGTTCACTGTATTTTCCTCCCATTCTGGACTCCAAAGGTGTCAAATAGGCAAGAAATACATTGGTTTTTGTTGTTTTGTTTTTCTTTAGTGACTATTATGTACAAAGTAAATCATTGCCCTGCAGTGTTGTACAAAAATGTAACTGCAGTTTAGATACACTGTAAGAGACTAAAAACAGAAAAAGGGAGGAAGATAAATATTTGAGGCTATAACACTTGAATTTTTCTTTCTTCCTTTTTAAAAAACTTCTATTGATTCTTTATGGATTTCATGTCATGCATTCTGATCCCACTTATCACCCTGTTTTTGCATTTTTCTTTTTTAAAGAGTTTTAGTTCACAAAATAAAGCACATATATATGGTTTTAAAACTGAAAAAAAAATAGCATAAAATGTTTGTTTCTTACCTCTTTCAGACAGAACTACTTTGACGTTTATTTCTTCCTTACCCAATTTTATGAGCTCTTTATACATATTACCAGTATGTTCATTTAATCTTCACAGCAACGCTGTAATCCTGTCTTGCCTTTAAAATAGTGGAAAACTTCAAATGGGATTCATGCTTGAAATTGTGATATGGCACCTGTAGCGCATCATTTCCATCTCCCCCCACACACACATTAATGCCATCTTAACTGTCTTTGCATAATCTTAGAGCTATCCTTCATTATTTTAAAATAGTGCATTATATAGTGTTTATGATTAAAGCAGCCTTGCAAATTTGTTAGTTTTCTGGTGTTATTAATAATCTCCATTGAAAATGTACATTTAAAAAAAGATTTATTTTTATTTTATGTGTAGGAGTATTTTGTCTGCATGCATGTATGTGAACCATGTGCATGCGTGGTGCCTACAGAGGCCAGAAGAGGAGTATATAGTTCCACAGATCAATTGCTCTATAAACAATTGGTTCAAATGTCAATTTATTTATTGTTAGCACTGCAGTTACTTCTAGCTCTTTTTATCTAAAAGAATTTGATCACATCTGTTTCATTTTAGAGAGTATCTCTGTGAAAGTGGGACTATGGTAAATACACAGCAACTATTGTACCTGCATTTGTTTCCCAGTGTCTCTGTAACAAACGGTCACAACGTGGGTTAGTAAAGCAGTAAGCATTTATTTTCCTGTGGCTGTGGAGGTTAGAAATCACGTGTCAGCAGTTTGCTCCCTGTGAGACTGCAGCATGCTAGCGTCTTCCTCCTCACCAGTCACTGACAGCACTCCCTAAGGCAGCTTCTTTCCTGCAGCTGCTGCCTGTGCTGTCACTTTGCATTCTCAGTGTGGGCTCTGGTGTCAGTCTGAGGACACCAGTCACATTGGAATGAACAGCCTCGCTGCTTTATCTCAACTTTCTGTCTCTACAAAAGACCAACTCAGGTTGCCCTTCTTTGTTCTTAGGAAATAGCACACTCCCAGGTAAAGCAAGAGGCTGTATTGCTGCATGAAAAACTTTATGAGTTAGAGTCCCATCGAGATCAAATGATTGCAGAAGACAAAAGCATGGGATCGCCAATGGAGGAGAGGGAGAGATTGCTTAAGCAGGTAGGGAAGAAAGTTTGTTTATTTGTTGTTTGTTTTGTTTTGAGATAGGGTTTCTCTGTGTAACAGCCCTGGCTGTCCTGGAACTCTCTCTGCAGACCAGGCTTGCCTCAAACTCAGAGATCTGCCTGACTCTGCCTCCTGAGTGCTGGGATTAAAGGCATGTACCCAACTTCCAGCCATTTATTCGTTTTAAGATCTTTGAATTAAGCAGAAGACCAATGTGTTTACAACCTGATTTTTTAAATTAATTAATTAATTAATTTAGAGACAGGTCTCTCTGTAGCTCTGACTGTCCTGGAACTCACTATGTGGACCAGGTTGGTTTTGAACTCACAGAGATCCATCTCTCTCTGCCTCCTAATAGCTGGCATTCATGGTGTGTATAGTAACACCCGACTTTACTGCCTGATCTTGTGGAGGTATTTTCCCAATTTAGGTTCTCTCCTCTCAGATGACTCTAGCTTGTATCAAGCTGTCATAAAACTGGCCAAGACAATAGGTAATAGTATATTTGGGGAAGAAGGAAGAATCTGTGACTAATTTATTATGTTCTATGATGTTCTATTTTAGATAGTCTAATAATATGTTATTCTTTAAATACTGTTTTCTTTTTATGCCCATATAGGTTAAAGAAGATAATCAGGAAATAGCCAGCATGGAGAGACAGTAAGTACCTTTGAACCAGAACATTTTATATTCATTCATTTTTCAGATTGCATCCTAAAGTATAGTACATGACCTATAGGCATTTTTTCTGTAGCTCACATTCATGATTTAATATTTATTGAACTTTCAGTGTCACGTTTTTAATTCTGAGTCATTGCCTAGTGTAATTGCTTTGAAAAATAACTTTATTAAGAGAAGGCTTTTGTGCATTATATATTTAAAGCATACCATTCAGAGCTTTTGTTATATTTACAGTTGAACAACCAGCACCATTGAGTCTTCCCAATAAAATGCCATAGCTTTTAGCCATTGCTTTCCTTATCTTTCCTACTCTATGTCACCGTATCTTTGCCTATTCTGGATGTTTCATGTGTGTAGTCATACAGCTTTTGGTCCTCTGTGGCTACATGCTTTCATTTAGCCTAAGAGTTTCAAGGCTCATCTGTGGTTTAATTCCAATTAATATTCTATTGTATGCATCTGATATGTTTTATTTATTTATCAGTTGATAGGCTATGGCTTGTTTCTATTTTGTTGCTATTAGGAATCATATTGACATGAACATCTATAAGCTGGTTCTGCATGGGAATTTATTTTTATTTCTCTTGTATAAATGTTCCGGAATGGGATCGCTGGCTTATGTGGTTACTTTATGTTTTACTTTATAAATTTGGAGTCTAGTCTAGATCAAATGATTACATAAAAAGCGTTGTATATCCTATATAAATAGACGTTTTACATTTCTGCCTGTAGTGTATGTGAGTCCAGGTTTCTGTACATCTTTATTACTTAGTATTATTTCTTTTTTTATTATCTGTCATTTCATAACAGCCTTGCCAATGGATTTGGATTAATATGTTTCTATGGCTTTCACTTGCAATTCCTTGATGGTTTATGGTGTTGAGTTTCTTTTCATTGGACTGTTGGCCATGTGTATGTCATCTTTGAAGATGTGTTTATTAATAGTCTTTTGCCCATTCTCATGTGAACTTATTATTGGTGGTATTGAGTAAAATGAGTTCTTCATATATTCACAATACAATTCACTCACCAAATACATGACTTACAAAAATGCTCACATTCTCTCAGATGTATTTAATCTTTAATGATGCTCATTTATGTTTTTTTCTTTTGTTGCTTCTAAAGTTCATTAATATTTTTAACAGGTTAACAGATATAAAGGAAAAAATAAATCAGTTTAGTGAAGAAATTAGACAACTTGACATGGATTTAGAGGAGCACCAAGGTAATGTTTGTGGTGTATTTTTGAGTTTTTTAAAATGTAATTAACATATATCTGTTATATCTCAGTGACTTACTAAGATTTATTATTTCTCTGTGATTATGTCTAACTTTAGCCACCGAAATATTATCTATCAAGTTTTATGAGTAGTATTAAACAACTACTTGAATTAGCTAAAATTTTAAATAACCTCATGATTGTATAAGACAAGTATTTAGTTTTTCAAAGATTTCCTTTTCTTTTCTTTTTTTTCTAATGGAGGAGGTGGCAGTCAGGTAACAAATCCCACAGGCAGCCTGAGAGACTTGGTTTTCTGGTTGGACTCAGTTACAAGGGAGCAAGCACTGATTGTCCAGATTTTCCCCAGCTGAGGCCTTAATAGTAGAAATCCTGTAGTGGGGTGTGTGTGTGTGGGAGAAGAGGTGTGTGTGCCTTAATTCCTAACCAGCTTACTCTTGCTTTAAACAGTTACCTTAACTGCAAACTAGTAAATTTGCTCTTGGATTAACAAGTATTAATTATATATTCTTATCAGTTCATGAGGGAAAGTCAGAATAATTAATTTACCACTGAATGATATAGACATTCACAGTAGGGAAAAGGGTAGCCTTTTTTTAAACATTGTTTTCACTTTGATTTTAAAGATAGTATTTAGCCTTTTGTTATCATGTAAATGATATTTGTTTCTGTTGATTCATTTCTTACCTGTTTGATTTTAAAGATACTGTTTAGCCTTTTGTTATCATATAAATGATACTTGTTTCTATTGATTCATTCCTTATCTGTTTGATTTTAAAGATACTGTTTAGCCTTTTGTTATCATATAAATGATACTTATTTCTGTTGATTCATTTCTTATCTAGATAGAGCGTTCTACGAGAAACCTTTTAATCCTAGCTAATCCATTTTAAACCTTTGAAAGCTCTGAGAAATTAGTCATTTGCTAAATTGTCCAAGTTAGTAAGTAGTAGAGTAGACTTAAACCAGAGTTTTACTGACTCGAAAGTCTTAGTTCCATTACCTAAGCCTAAGTTTGATTTTTCTAATTCAAAGTACTTTGTGAAATTAAAATGTTCTTAGAAACACAGCGTTCCGTCTACATGTGGTTACTAATGGTCTTAATAAGGCTTCTAAAGGCAGTTTTTGAAAACATTAATTTAGGTAAGTAAACTTGCCTATGCTTTAGTTTTCTGATCTTGGAAAAGAGTATAATGGTAATGTCTCACTGAGGTTTATGTATTAAATGCCATTTGTGACAAAGATAGGCTTATAATAAATTAATACTAAGGTCATGTTAATTTAAAACCTTTGCTCATTTTCATTAACAAGATTATATACATTTATTGTTTATAGCATGTTCTGAAGTATGCATATATTTGAATGGCTCAGTCGAGCTAGCATATGTATTATTTCATACATTATTTATATAATGAGAGCAACTCAAAATCCACTCTTCATGATCCTTAAGAATACACTACATTGTTGTCTGTTGTGGAAGCACACACTTTAAATTCCAACAGTCGGAAGGCAGACACAGGTGTGTCTCTTTGAGTTTGAGATTAGCCTGGTCTATATATTAAGTTCTAGGACAGCCAAGGCTAAATAACAGAGAAATGCCTCTAAAGAGCCGAGGGATAAGGGAGAATATCTTTATACTAATGTTGTTGGTCTCTTCAGTTGATTCCTATCTTACAAAATTTTGTATCGTTCATATGTGCTATTTCTTACTGTTGCTTTTCATATATGTAGATCTATTCTTCCTAAACTATAATTTGTAGTTTTCTTTCTACTAAAATGATGCATTTGGGAGGTAAATTTTATTATTAATCAAACTTGTAAGATAAATAGAATATGCAGTGCTTTGTTTTTTGCTTGTTTTCCTTTTTGGTTTAAACATTTGTCTTTTTTATTAATGTAGAATAAAACAATCCATACTTGTGCAATAGTGATAAAAGCCCACAAAAGTATATGTAAATGTGTAATACATAAATATAGGTGTGTGTGTGTGTATTCACAGGTAAGTATTGATGCATCAAGGATTTTTGTTGCCACTGCTCTGCTGTGATCTTCCTTGGTTATTGTGTCAGCTTGGGGGTTTGTAGAAGGTGACTTGTCAGAAGGTTACTTGTTAGTTCAGGACCTCATTACTTTCTGCCTGAACTATTGCAGTAGCCTCCTAACTGGTTACCCCACCTCCATTCTTGCCCCAGTATAACTCTGCTAGAATGATTTATGTAGAATGTGGCTCAGTGTCCTTGACCTGCTTAAATGTGATTCACCTTGATGCACAAGATAACAGAATTTTTGTATGTCATACTGTTCTTCTGTAGTCTGATTCTATCAGCTTCCTGTTCATCCCATAGACATCTCTGTTCTGCCCCCTCCCCTTTAAACCAGGTCTAATAGTGTAGTTGAGGCTTGCCTAGAATTCACTATATACCCCAGGCAGGCCTCAGCCTCCCAAAGCATGGGTTACAGACATGAACCATCATGCCCAGCTCTGTAGCAACCTATTAATAACACTCTACATCTGCTATCTTATATTTCTGCTTATTACCATTCATTCAACTATGTTATGCTCTAACCTTTTGTTTTCATTGTTTTCTTTTTGTTTGTTCTTCCATTTACCTGACTAAATTCTTACCCTATAAGATTTAACTCAGGTGTCTTCTCTGAACATATAACTCTGAACTTCATTCCCTAACTAGTTTCTAGGCTTAGCTGAGTAACTTTCCTCCATGTTACTAGACCACCGTGTGTTACAGCTTCCTACTTATGTGTTTGTCTTCCTTCTTAGACTGTAAGCCCTCAAGGGCAGGGACTACTTCTTTATTCACTTCAGTAATGTTCATCAATACTATATCTGGGAAGTAAATGCTTGTGGGATAACCTAAGCAATCCTTAAATAAGAGAGAAGGAACTGTACAATGAACTAAAGGTGAAAATGGAGCTCTAATCTGTTCTTTGGGTCCTCTCATTTTAGGATATAGGTATGCACTCTCCAGAGAAAGCTTGACTACAAGGATTTTATTACTTTTCCAGAGGATCCCTATTGTGGATTCATGTTTTCCAATAAAGTGGTAGATTTTTGTCTATATCTGCATTTTCACCTGTGATGGTTAATTTTGATTGTCAACCTGATTTAATTATAAAGCGCTTAAAATAGTTATGCATATGTGAGGGTTTTTTCTGTGGTGACTACCTCAGGGGGTTAGAGCAACTGAAATGTGGACAGTGTCATTTCATAGGATGGGGCCCCAAATAGCATAGACATTTTCTCTCTCTACTTTCTAGCTTACATGATGTGTGCTGTTCTGCTCCACCTTACACTCCTGGCCACAATGGATGGAAACCTCTGAAAATGAGCCAAAACAATTCTTTCCTGTCCTAAATTGATGCTAAAAGTGAAAAGAAAATCATAGAAAATTGATACCAAGCTGGGTATGTTGGTACAAGATGATAATCCCAGTGTACCCAGGAGGCCGAGGAAGAATTGCTGCAAGTTCAAGGATAAATTGAACTAAGTTTAAGGACAGTCTGGGCTACAGTATCTCAAGTTCCTTTTTACTCGCCTCCCACCAGAAGAAAATTTCTAAAATAGGAGTGTATTGTGGCTATGAGTAAATTTGGTATGTTAAGCCTTTGGAGTTGATTCATAGGAGGGATTTTGAAAAGTTAGAAGAAATCATCTAAAGAATGCCAGGAATACTATAATTCTGGTAGGAATTAATGAGCAGGATACCAATAGTAAAGAGTATGTTCAAGATGTTTTAAATGGGAGAAGGAATTAGATCATACATATTTTATTCTGACAATGAACTTGTCTGTATCCTGAGATTATGAGTGATACTGAATTTTAAAGGACTGACTAGTTAATTGGGGAGAGGAAATTTCATGGGATCCCAGCATGCAGGCAATTGTGTAGCTTATGCTAGCTACTTTTTGCCAAATTGATAGTGAGAATTGTGAGCAGATCGGCAAGATTTAAAAACTTGCCTTGACTCCAGAATAGCATGTAAAGTTAGGGCCAAGGAAATATTTTATTTTCATTATAAATTAATACTTGAAAATTTACATATCATGCTTTAGTCTCTCACAGTAACGTTACTTGGTCCATTTAACCTTATAGAGACCTTTATTTTTCTTGCTCTTTTACAGTAAATTCTGATAATTACAGTGTTACCATTATAATGCATGTTCAACCCTTTTGTGGAATAGGTCCTGAAGACAAGTAATTACCTTTCTGTGTAGAATTACTAGGTCTTTTGAAATCATGTGGTTTTCAGGTTTGCCCATTGCTAGCTTAGGCTGAAGCTTTTTCGGGTCTGCTATGTTAGTTATCAATTGTCCATCTGTTTCTATTTTCCTAATTTTTATTTTTGTCTTCTTTCCTATCCCCATTCTTGGGAATTTATACTTTGAGAGGCAAACAAACAAAAAAAAGCAATTTTTTATTGTATCTTTAAGAGGGCTTGAAGAAGAGTAATTATTAGAAGTGGTTATTCAGCTGGCCACATGGTGCACTCCTTTAATTCCAGCACTCAGGAGGCAGGCAGATCTCTGTGAGTTGGAGACCAGCCTGGTCTACATAGTGAGTTTCAAGACAGAAGTGTGTGTTCAAGCTACCATCTTTTCTAGGAAGTCAGTAATTAGAAAATTGACTTAGAATCTTTAAAAGTTCAGTCACCTTGAGTGTGCTTCATTTTTTTTTGTTTTGTTTTTAAAGTGTTTTTGTAGGTGTGTGTTTGCGTGTTTAACTGCAAATGACCATTCTCATACACTTTTATTGACTTTTCAGTTAGTAAAATTATTGTTATTTCTTCTGTCATAATGTAGTAGTAGAAAACTGCTGTAATCCTAGCAGCTGTTAGAGGGAATCAAGATTTCAAGTTCAAAGGACAGGCTACAAAGTGAAAGCATGTCATAAACAAAACAGTGACCAACCTGGATGTGGGGACATGCTCCTGTGGTCTCAGCTTCTCAGACGGCTAGGTCAGAAGAAG